TAATTGAGAAGGCAAAATACAACATACAGATTGGAGAAGGTATGCTATGAAATCATCTAATACCGCCCAAGATGACTGTAACTTCAGCTAATTTTGAGACAGGGGGAACATCAGTGCATTTCAGCAGTGCTCCAGAGAATGGACACAGAAAAAAGTTAGTGACACAAAGATAAAAATCTTGTTTAGATATGAGAGAACAAAAGGAAAACAATCATTCTAAATCAGAACAAAGTTGCCAAAATTGTGCATTTGTGTTAAACTGCATAAAATAAGGAGAAGTTGTGGGGAGTCAAATACTAATTATGTGAAACATCAACTTCCTTTTCGACATATGTAAATAAATGAATCAAACTGCACATACACACACTGTATGCAAGTTTCACATCTCGAAGCAATCTTCAACCATCTCAGAGATGGACTGAATTTGGACGTAATATAGCCCCAGAGCTGTACTGTCCAACTGCATAATACAAAACAAGCAGCAAAAATAGCCAAACAAAATGCCATTCATCATATCCACAACAAAATAAAAAATGCAGTGGCCAGCATTAGGGCTAAGCAATTAACCAAAAAAAGCATCAAAACCAACTTTAGAACCGCTTAGATCTAATCTTGCTCATGTTGGTTAATTTGGTTAATATTTTCCCCAATGTATGGGTTCATGAACTGTCCCTTAAAAAAATGCTACCTTGTGTTCAATCACATGCCTCCACCCTGTCCAACTAATGTTGGTCCGCATTCACTCAAACCAAAGCCGGCAATATGGATGACATGAGCGCAAACACTGAGCCACAACCCGAGCAGCTTATACCTAAAAAGAATGTCTTGTCCGTTGTTTGGGCACATTTTGGCTTCAGTGGAGTTGAAACTGAACAAAAAGACAAATGCAAACACTGCAGAAAAACAATTTTAGTGACCAACATCAACTGTTTAATCACTTGGAATACAATTACATTGCCAAATATGAAGAGTGAACGGCTTAAAAAAACGGGAGCAATAAGCAAAGTAATTATATAAAGAATAAATAATCGTGATATTGATTTGAAGTCACATCACCAAGTCCTAGCCATCATACAGGCCCACTTTAAAATGTGCATCATGAAACTTCAGAAATGTGGTTTAACAGGTAGGATACAGTCAAGTCATTGAATAATACCATCTTGCGACTATTTTCCAGACCAGAGCATAAGAGAGATGTTGTGATTGTCCAAAACAAGAAGTAAAAAATTGCTTACATCATTAATTCAAATCACCTCCAGCACATCAATGTCATCCACAGAAACCAGCTGCAAATGTTTATACGTCAGAGTATAAAAGCGTAATGAAACTGTTCAGATACCGATCAATCAACTTCAATGAGAACAGAAGTTACTAAATCATTACATTTCATAAATGACAACCATGTTGACCGTTCTGGACAAATTTCGATTAAATTAAGGATTTTTTGATAAAATGCTTGACCAACTTCTTAGTTACTTATCTGTATTCAGTGACAGCCAAAACAGAACTAAATGTGATGACAACTGATGTCAAACTGTGAACAGGCCCGCAATTAATGTAGTTTTCTAAAGCCACATTTCTTGATATGGTAATGATTACTAATTATATTTGATAAAGTATATGAAGCTGTGTACTAATATGCAATGAAGTGGCAAGTCTAGCAATAGAGAAGTAAAGGAAATGTAAATTGCATTCAGTACTTGCCTTACTGAAATTCAATTATCATACACATATAATTGTCAACAGATACACACAATGCATCAAAATCAATTATCTGCATGCAAAATTCAAATAACAATGATGTGGTTTATTGAAAGACAGTTACCTGGATCAAGATGTATTGTTCCACTGCCAAACTAGATTATTTACCATTTCCCTCTTTTGTCATTATCCCAACTATACATTTTGGCCCACTATTCCTCGACAGGAAACTGATGAAATTTTCAGGAGTTTGACAATGTAAACAAACCTTTGCTTTCAACCTTTTCTATGGTAACACCTTAAATCACATTACTAGCCTTCTGTGCTTAGTGACACTCGTTGAGGTTAAACAAATGTTAATAGGGCATTTATCAATAATAATCAGGCAACAAGTCCATTTCCTTTTACTAAGAGACAATAAAATCGGCTTGTTGCATTTCCCATGATGAGTCTGTGACTTCTAATCAAATTTGCAATCTATATTGCTGAAAAAGTAATCTACCGCAGTCATCTGTCTTATACAGCTACAGTATGGATGCTGCTTATGCTTGCATGTGGCATGTGCGCCACTTTGAGAGCGAAGCAAAAATCGTCTTATTAACTAGCAAGACTATTTTGCAGTATATAAAGCAGCACTAAATATTTAGCCCTGGACTCCTGGTATGAATAACTCATGTAGTGAATAAACTACTGGTGTCTTAAGTGTTGTTTCATCAAAACTTCAATATAAGCACTGCAACATTCACTACAAACAGTATTTGTAGCAGTTTAACCATAATCTTTATGAAAAGCTGTGGCTTCCCTGCTGCTGCTTTTTGGTGCAATTTTGGTTTGCTGACATAAGTGTATAACAATAATTTACCTTTCTCCCTGAATGTTGATGCCATTTTCATGTCATAAATGCTTATCAGCTGTGACCTGGTCTCTCTCAATGATTTCCCTTTGTTTTAAACATGAAGGCTTTGGTGCATAACTATTATCTATATTCAAGCCCCTGCAGGAACAAGCGGTTGAACCCTTACAACTCTTGCTGTGGATGTCATTTTAACTCCATGCTGCTCAGCAGAGTGACCACCTGTTAATGGCAGACACTTGGAAAGTCTTAAAAATCTCTGGCATAAGATGGGTTGGATTACTTCCACCTAGATTCATTCAAGGCCGATTTGAGCTTAAAAACCAGCACATAATAACCTCACAATTTTCAGTATTTACAAGTGTCACACTGATGTGGGCAGCCATCACTGATTTATCTCAATCATTGCATGTTACACTGATAATACAAAAGGAATGTAAAGGCTACATAAATACCCCAAACAAAGTAAAACTTCACCATCATTACAATATCCTGTTAAAACTACCAGGGATGGGAGTAAGCTTTATTAACATAAGTGACACACACATATGGTTACCAAAAATTAACAAATACACATCATTTATTTAATTGTGTGTGTGGGTATGTGTGTGCTAGCATGCTGCACAGACCCTTCATTTTTTGTTGGGGCATCTAGCGTAAGTTAGTGATACTAAAAAGGTCAAACAAGGCTAACTACCACCCAATGCTGTATCATCTATAGCAAAGGGACATGTTAAAGACAATAGCGGCACTTAATGTTAGATACATACTGTCATGTTTAAAGCCGATCTATTACCCCCTCTGAACCGTTGAGAGGATCAGTCACACATGCAGAGATACTCTGAACATTGGTGGCAGGGAAACAACACACAGTCAATACAGAAATTATTGCTAGTAGTGCGATGCACACCTATACACTGCTTGCTGTTAATCCTGTGATATAACGTTAACCATCACCAAAAATTGCTTGATTTCTCTGCTTGCATTTACTGATCTATTTTTACGTTTTTCGTTAACTTGACTAGTGTTTGCTCTTCTAACGGCAGCATGCTTAACGAAAGATGCACCGACTACAGCGGTAACCTTTCTGCTCTGGTAAAGGTTTATCGCCATTATGCACGCATTTGTCCTGAGGTTACTGCACTGGCCTGGGCACAGAAAGACGGTCCTGTGTCTTCAGTGCTACGAGCTAGCCAAACAGGCTCAATGGACTTTGGAGCTGACGCGTTACTGTAACGTTAGCTAGCGAGCAGGTTTCACCACCAAGATTTTCTCGGTCGTTTTAATACAATTTTCTTTCGTTCCTCACAAAATGACCCAAACGAGCGAGTAGAAAAGACATAAGCGTCTTAAAACGTTTAACGATACCTTCCTGGGCCTTCACCACTGCCGTGGTATGTTGCTGAAAACACAGTCCGTGTTGGGGACGTGGAGAGCTGGGACCAAAGATGGCGTCCCCTCCAAACTTCCACTACTTTGGACACTCATCAAGCTACTTTTCGTGTGTAGGTACGGCAGCGCACACGGTTAATCTTTCACACCGTGAAACTTAACCGACTGGCGTATCACAGTTATTTTTACATGGGTACAGCAACTGCCGCTGAGTGAAAATGTTTAATTATTATCTGTTTTAGGAGACAAACCTCTTCACACCTCGGCAGTGCGTCCTGGCTCCGGGGCCACCTCTCCGTCTTCAAGTGGTTGTCTATGAAACGTCATGCATCGTGTGCAAAATTCTTATCGCGAGGGTGATGCATGTTTTTCTTAACGTCAATGACAACATGAAGGAAAAAAGTAAAAAATAAATGTATAAATAAATAACAATACACAGTACATATGAACTATGCATAGTTTTGCATACAAGTTGCAGATTTATCACTGGAAATTATGATGTTCGAGGCTCAAATAAATGAAATAATGTATTGGTCAGATCAAAAAGTTATAGGATCCCATTTCCGCCAAAAGAAAACAATGCATTAAGTTTAGGCATGATAAATGTGAAGATACTATGACAGAATTATCAAAACAAATTATCTTAAGAGTTAGGCATAGTAAGTATAAACATTCATGGTAATAATTTTGATTTAATGAGTCAAATTTTTAGACACTAAGCCTTTTTTTATATACAAAATAGTAAAAATAATCAGATGGGTTTGGCAAGATAAACATAAACATAGTCATCTGCCAACATTTTAATTTGCTGGTCAAAATTAGTGAACAGCTAGGCATGATGGTAATGCTCAACATAATAATTGTGACTATGTCAAATGCTCTATACTTTGCCAAAATATTGAATTACACATCAAAATTGATAGACAGAGATTATCTAAAGAGTTAGGCATGATAAAAATACAAATACTCGTGATGATAGTTTTGACTTAGTAAGTCAAATATTATTGAAAATGTTGAAGTCAATTCTGAGATAATAATTGTAATCTTAAATAAATAAAATTTATTAGACAAAGGTAGGAAATTTGACTTACTTTCTCATAATTTTGACATCTTAAAATTTAATTCCTTATAATTTTCCCAGTTTTTTGACTTGTGTAACTTTTTATCTATTCTTTTCTTTTGCTTGAATTAATTGGCTTCCATAATATGTATCCTAAAAAAATAAGGGGGCTTTGAATTTCACTCATTAGCAAAGTCAGTGTGTTCAGTCAAATGCATGCTCACTGTCTCGTCTGTCCTTCCTTCCCAACTAATTGGTCACTTTATACTGTAGATTACTGTATTAATACAGTGTATTAAACAGGGATCTATAGTATATAAAACCAGATAACACCACAGCTATGTTTAACAACATGTCTTCAAAGTTTATTTCATACAGTTTTGTTGTTGTACACATACTTCTTTGGTAAAAAACACATCAAGATCGAATGAAGCATCAAAGTATAAAAAGACATCTAGCTCTGAATGAGGCTGTGCATAGTGGGGTGTTAAGATGGTGGAGGTTGATATGATTTCCTGTACTTGCTCTGCATCCAAACACGGTGCATTGCAACTTTCTTTCCTCTGTTCACTTGTAGTCGCCTGTCCTCCAGATTCTGAATTTCTTCCAGTCCAGCACTGGAAAATAAATCATGAACCTCTTCTGTAAAGAAATACATAAAATCACAGTCAGACACCAGGGCTGTAGCCAGGATTTAAGAAATACTGAGGTCATGAGTCCAAGTTCCCCCGTTCCACAGAAAAATGTTGATATCAAAAATAAAGTGTATACTGTATATATTTAGTAATACCTTTTGTGAAAAAATAAACACAGGTTCCATCTCCACGTGTGTAGAAGTTCTCTGATAAGCACCGTCCTGATTGAAAAAAGATTACATTAGATTAAAAGTATTTAATTGCAAAACAACACTCAACACACTCTACAACAAATTAGGTGATGTGCATAAAATTGTTATATTAAGGTGTATTTTACTATTTGAAGGCTCACCCTTCTTAAACCTGAGTTGTGAGAAGTCATATCTCCCATAATCACGGAAGAGAAATATCCCTCCATGTTTCAAATATGTAGATAGTCTCCCCACGACTCCTTGCATTCTGTCAATGAAATATCAATTAATGGAACAATAATGTTGTATATTAAGATTGCAGCTACTGAAGATCCAAGTAACACCAGAGATAATACAAGCTGTATGGGAATGTATTCATTGATGCCTCAAAATACATAACAAACAGCCAAACAAGCAAAGTATTACAAGCTGAAATGTCTATAATACTATGGTGCCCATGTCAGTGCGTTTGGTAATAATAAAGCCTAAAAATTAAAATATTTACGCTGCAATCCCTTAAATTCTTGTATACTTTTTTATGTCAACCAAACCACTGCACAGTTAATATATTGCACTTTATGACACAATACAGTCTGCATTTAGTTTTATATGTTTGGGTTTTGCAATGACATTCAGACAAAGCCTGGGGAAAGTGAAGGTGGGTTGGGAGGGTTATATGGGTTGGGGGCGGGGAATGGCAGGTGATAAATGACATCAGGCTCTCCTGTCTTTGTGTTTTAACCTTCACCTACCGCTCCGGATGAATGGAGGAGAGCACAAAGACTGCTAGAATAACATCCAGGCTCTGAGGAGGAAAGGGAAAGGAGGCCATCTCCTCACAAATGTCATGGACAAAGGCATGACACACAGAGTCATCATAGTCTGGATGGTCCTATATGAGGAACATGAAGTAGGCTGTAAATATAGTGTAAAAATACAGTATTATAAAAGTTATCTGGTATAAATGGTATAATCTCAATCATGCAAGAGAAATATGTTATAAAACGTTTTTTTCTCATCAAAAATTACAAGGGATGATCTATAAAGTTCGATGATAGAAGGCTTTCTGTCTATATAAAAGCAATTTTATATGGTATGTTTTTAGTTTAAATTGTCAGTACTGCTACTGTCAAGTTATTCATTTGTCTGAGGCAGTTACTTTAAATGTACTAAATCCATCTCTTCTTCATGAAATTTCAACTTGCAGATGATTATTTTACTCCAGTTGTGAGATCAATGTAATTGAATGGCACAATTTGCACATGTGATAATTTTCATGTGATAATGTGCATACATGGTGATGTCATATATTGTGTATTACTGAAATTACTTTCTACATGTGAGACCTTTTCTTTTCTTTATTTTGCTAAAATATACTCTTTCTGAAGTTTTTTTTTTATTGATGATTTACTTATACTTAATGTGTCATATTTGGAAACAAAATTCCCCACAGATCTACAGTTGAATTTAAACAGCTTTGACTGGAATCCATTTGCTCTCATAAGACACACCTACTGTGATCACTCTTTGACATTTCGGCTTTATGCTCTCACTCTAATGAGATATTTCTACTGGCAGCAGTTGGCATTCAGCTACAGAAAATGAAAAGAAATACATCCTGTTACTGCAGGTTACAAAGATCTTCAGACAGATTAAGATGAGTTTCAATTAGGTCTTTGTCAGGGCCAACACCAATATATAATTCAGATTCAATTCATCTTTAAAGCTGTACAAAAATATAATCTACCAGATTCTTGATTCAGTTTCCTCATTGATTCAACTGTAGCTACTGCGCAGAGCTTTGAGTCATTCTGCAGTACTTTCATGTATGCACATTTTCTGAGGGAACAATGGTCAGGACTATAAACTCTAATTTGTAAAACTGAAAGATTGACATTAACCACAGATTTATGATGAAAGAATTGAATTTATTCCTTCATCCAATGTTAATGTAATCTGTTTGAATATTTTAGCAGTCTATGACATGGGGGACATAATCTGATATGATTGTGACCACCCTCAACATAGATTGAGATTTTATATAGCGTTGTTTATTTTTATACAGTATGGAAGTTATATTGCTCAGTACTGCATTGACAAAATGCATTGACCTCAACACAATATTCAGACCTTTGGCATATTCATACCAAGCAATATTAGAAATGCTTACCTTGACCACCTGAATGGCACGTGGGGAGAAGTCACAGCAGTATAAAAATGCATCTGTTCCTCTGTGAAATAGAATAGACAATTTAACAGCCCTTAAATCATTACATGTACAGGCAATAAACATTTGATGAAGCAATTTTGTGGCTCCCAAATGTGCTTTACACAGAGCAATGCAATATCTGTCAACAAATGGAGAGCATATTACAAAGCAAGGAAGTGAGAAGAGTTAAAAGGGAATTTGGCAATTTTAAAGTAAACTCTCATCGTTATTCTAATGTAGTCTTGACCCAGAAACTGATTTTAGTGCTGGCATATTGCCAGTTGTTCCTTCAAGGTCTCTAGGAATCCCTGTCCAAAGTGGTACAATGGTACCATACAGAGCTTTTTCACTGAAGACATTTTGACATGACACCAACTATAACAGGCCAAAGTAGCTGCTGTAAAACAGACCTATTATGAAGTATTTTGCAATGACACATCTATTAAAACCACATCTATTTTTGAGTCATTTCCCATATTTGTTGTAGCTTATATTTCAAATTCAGATCCAATTAAAGAAAAGGAGAGAATTGTGTTGTGGACGCTAAGCAGAACCATTCAATCTTTAAACAAACAATGTCAACTGGGACATAAGAGTGGTTGACTACTGCTTTTCTAACATAACTATACTGAACAAAATTAATATAATATAATATTTGGTGTATTTGAAGTGTTTTACATCTTTGAGTAGAAAGAATGCTGAGGATTGACATATGATACACATCATGATAATGATGCTGAAATGGATGAAACTCGCAATATATGCAAATATCTCAAAATATGTACTTACTTTATGGAATTAACAATGGGAAATACACTGTTACCAACCCCACATCCAACCTGTGAAAAGAAAATATGTTTTGTTGATAATTCTGCCTACAGGAACACAGCAAAGCAAAGCTGTCAATGCAATTATACACTTAGTACGGCAACTTATAGCCTGTTCTTTTTTTTTTTTTGTACACACAATTGTGTAATGGTCCACATATAACAGTCTATATTAAAACAATGAAACTCAATATTTTTGAAAACCTCCAAGATCCTGAAAGATGCATGTTGTCCAGGGAAAGTAGAAGTCTGAGTGGCATCTTCATTTTTTTCCAGTGATGCTCCTTGACGGGCCTTCTGACAATCAGGGGCGTGTCTGTGATAGTGAGTTGTGCCACTGTGTTGATGGTGTCTGGTCTCTGAGTCCATGTTGGATTCACTAGGTAGCAGGATTTCCACCTGCTGATCACCATGACATCTGGTTGTGGCTTGGTTTTTTGTATCCGATGGAAGCAGTTCTGGGAATTCTAAAAACAGCCACTTGCGATCTTTGAAGAACTTATCCCGGTGCATCTCATAAAACTTGTCCCAGTACAGGTAAGCTTCTGTGTCAAATTTACCTGTGTGGAGGGAATTTAGGAACTTTTTAACCATTGCTTTGCCATGTAACCCAATCAAATCTATATTTTTAAATATTTTGCAGGAATACATTCTTACCTTGTTCATTTAAAGGAATTTGCACACAGGAATTTTCTTGTGCCTTCTGCTGTGCATTTTCTTTGTCCTCTTCTGACCACTGTACATGATCCCTAAAATGTAAAGCATTACAAAGCAACTGCTGATACATCTGTTTAACAATAGTGACTCACAAACTGTCCAATGTCTTATTTGATCCCTTACCAAATATGTTTCAATGTATCTCAAAATATGTTTCATATACTAAATTAAAGAACATTCAAAACTAGAACATACAAATCCACACTGTGTTTTAAAATTCATGAAAAGGCTTCTGTCTGAAGCCTAAATTTTAGCATGATGTTATTGAAAGGAGGCACACCTACACTGAAATCCTGCAATCCCCTTACACAGAATATACAGATGAGGGACAAATCCAATCTAAATAAGAATTAATAAGATGTTCGGCCATGATAAACCAATAATAGTACATCACTAACCACATGTTGTGCTTAAAGATGTCATCAGGATTGGTCAGAATCCGTGAACCCAGTGGAGCTGAAGGTCTTCCTGCTGTGTTCTTTAGTCTTGTCGACAATCTGCTGAAAACTTTAGCCACTTTGGCTATAGAGAGGCTCCGCAGTTTATGCATTTACTCTGTAAAAGTGCAGCAAGAGTTGAATACCTTTCACAATGCTTTGACCGTGCACCTATAGCTAATAAGATTCATGTGAGCTGTAGCTGTTTAATGCTAACAAAATAAACAGTTTTACTCTTCTATTGATATTTTTTATCTTTCAGGAACAATGTTCAGTTTAATATAAATACCTTTCAATCAAAAATGATTAATAAAAAGAACAAAGTAAAGAAATTACATTAAATTCAAAGAATACTTTTTATGAGAAGACAAAGGTCCCTGTGTGCTCAGTTAAGAACTTACCCAAAGAGCAGCATTAATGTTTTGTTTTTTTTTTATCTTGGTTTTGTGGAGAACAAATTTCATTTAGAATTTAATTTCCCCATGTACAGTGACCTAAGGAGTTGCTATTTTAAAAAATGAAGTTGAGGAATCCTGATTTGCTTTGGTTATCCAAAGATTATATATTCAAAGAGGCTTTTTAACAAGGAGGTTTATGTTTTGGCAAGATTAACAGAAGGTTAAGACAGAGTTCCCTGTATCCTTGACTATTTACTGTTATGTAAATTGGATCTTTTTGAAATGTTTTCTTTTCTGAATTCGTGGAATTAGACAAAACTGCTACATAACTAACCTCGTTCCAGACTGCTGAATGGTTGTCCATTTTTTGTGATTTAGAGAGAATGCATTGATAAAATGAAGTAAAAACAAAATGGTAACTCAGTCTGCCCTTAGGCTACTTGGTTGTTTGTGAATTGCAAGCCTATGGACTGGGTACCATGTGTTGCAGGAGTTTTAAATCAATCAATCAATCAATCAATCAACAAGATGGTGAAAGGCATGTAACAACAAAAATTACAACGGTATAATGAAATAAATGGTAAAGCATCCAATAGACAAATGTGGTCACTGTTAATTAAACAGCATGCTATATTTAACTGTGAGTTATTGGTATACAGATGGAAGACAAACAAGTGCGAAGAGAAACTCTTTAGGGGAAGATACTCAGGAACACTAGGGAAATGTCGTAAGGAGAACTCTGTACCACACTGAACCACATGTGAGTCCCTTATTATAAACTCATGCTGTGTAGCCAAACTTTGTTCAAATCCACAGAGCCTTATTTCAAACTATAGCGTGAATCTCAAAGTTACCAAAGATACCAGATGAGCTACATAAGATTTTGGGGAAATGTGCATTAAACATCATATACAGTTGTATGCAGAAGTTTGGGAAAAGTTTGCCAAATTACATATAGTGAGACTAAAGAGAGGTAAGCTTCATAAACAGGACAATAATCAAAAGCAGGCCTCAAAATCCACCATGAACTACTTCAAGAAACACAAGATGAAACTTGAGGAACAGCTCTCACAGTCCTATGATTTGAACATCACTGAAAATCAATGGGTAAATCTTAAACATGCTGTGTGTGCAAGACAGCCAACAAATATCTCAGAACTTAAAGTAATCTAAAAAGAACTGTGAAAACTTCCTGAATCAGGAATAGAAAGACATTAGCTGGATACAAAAAGCATTTGTAAGCTGTGATATCTGCCAAGGGGGGAAAGGGGAGGGGTGTTATTAAGTACTGACTTAATAAGGGACCCAGATTTTGGCACAGGCCACAAGCGGTATTTATTTGTTTCTACTCTACATGTTCAAATGGTTACATCCAACTAGTTTAGTTTAGTTTAGTAATTACTAGACTAGTTTCAATGGAGAGCTTAAACAAACCAACTACAATATATAAATATTTTATAGTCAAACTGTGTGAAGTAAGATTATTTTAACAACCTTGAAGGTACGCAAGGCAAAATAAAAAATTTTTTGAGGAGTGATTTATGTATCCATTCTCCATGGTCAACCTTTTTCTATACAGCCTATGTTGTCAACGCAACGTACCGGCGGCGGAGAGGAGGGCGCTACAGCTCCAAGCTGAATGTCTCGCGTTTAATTCTCCCGTAGAACAAGACGCTTGTGAAGACTACAAAAATGGAGCGGCATTAGCTACTAACTAACCTCACATCGTCCAAATACTAAATTATCGTTCACCAACTTATAGCTGCTGATATTCCTCATTTGTTTCTCATTTCTGAACAACTCCACGGTTTAACTTGGTCATATATAGAGGGTTAGGTACGTCTTTTGGAGTGAAGTTAACGACATATCAAGGCTAACGCTAGCGCCGGAGTGGTCTCGGAAATATGCAGCCTAGTAAACAGTTGTAACGTTGCCAGACTGGAAAACCAAATCGCTCTCACCTGTCTCTGACTGTGGTGTTAGGGTCACTTTAGGTTGTTGTCTCTAGACATGCTACCAGGCCGTGCTCTTATAGACGAAAGTGCCACCTGCTGATGGCGCCGTACCAGAGGAACAGGACCGTAAACTCCACTGAGCTGTTGATCCGGAGGAGTAGAGGTGTCGCGGATGCTGGGACTCTGATCAGACAGAACATGAAAGTCCTCAGGAGTATCCTCCTCGAGGTAGTAGAAAATTCGTTTAATTAATTGAGCTAACAGGTTTGTATTTTTTCTACTGATATATTAACTTTTTTTGAACTGCACTGTAGGAAAACAGGGATTTCATGAAAGTATGGAGCAAGACCTCAAAATCAACAATCATGTATGAGAATGGTAAAATCTACTTTGAAAATTACCAGAACTGCTACAGTTGGTGAGTATGAATTACACATACCATACTAAAGCATACATCACAGCTATACATAAACAGCAACATCTTTCAATTGGGCACATATAAGTGAGATAATACATGAGTCACACACTGCACACACTCTACATAAATCAAAATGCTGAGGGCCGATGTATACTAATTGTGAGATGCAGGAAATTTGCACATTTCAAGAAGACTATAATAGTTAATGCTAGTTCCAACAGAGAGATGTGCTGAGGGAATGGTACAGAGAAGATGTGACATGAATTATACCAAAGTGTTATTTATTTTTTTACACTATTTATATCTATTACACCGTGCTTATTGACATACAAATGATTAAATCCCCATCTGCTTTCAGTGTTCATTCAGAGCCTCACGTTTTGTACAAATTGCCTAAAAGGTCTAAAGTGGAAAAATTTGAAGATGCCTTGCTGTGTCAGACCCCACTTGTAAGTGAAACTAAAGAAACCCTATTTTGCACTTGCATTAGTAGATCTCTTAGCACTGAACTTGCAGTAAACAGATATAAACAACCCAGTTTCAGACTGTCGTTTCATCTGTTTTTTTTGACAGGATAAAACATTGGCCTCTTCCTCTGATCATAAACCCAGCCTCTTGGCTTTGACAGCCAATAACTGGCTGTATCGCTTTTCAGCTGAAACGGGAGAAGAGCTGCAACGAGTTTACCTCTCTTCAAAACATAAGTTTAGGTATTGTCAAGGCTCTGAGTTCTCTGTTCTTTGAATGAAGGTTAGTACATTTATTTTCCGTTTTAGGTCATTTAAAAATCTTTTTATCTTACTCTGTTGCTTTTTTGAAGGTATCTTGGCTGGGAGGTTTCTCAAGAAATGCTTTATGTTAAATCTGTTCAAAACAAAGAAACACCTTTAGCACGACAGGTAAGATAAGTCTATTGATTTTTATTAAGGTTCATGCCTTATTTAAGAATGACAGGACACTGTCTTTTTTTTTTAAAAGCAAAGGATCTTTCTGTAAATGTAATTTCTTCAGTTCATCAATTTTAATGCATGTATTGCATAAGCCAAGGAAAATAAATATGAAATCTTGTAATGAGACAGTTGAGGAATTTAGGTATCACTCGTCGAGTGCTCCAACTTATGATTTCCATTATCAGTTAGTCTGTTGACTACAGTTTAGATGAAGTGATTAAATTGTTGTTAAAATAGTGAAAAATGCTTATTACAATTTCTCTTTAATTAATCTATTATCAAAATGGTTGTACTTTTTCTGTGGATTGATTAATTGATTAAACAACAATTCATTTTACAACTAGTCCCAGGAAGAGATCTCTGATGTGGAGAAGGGGTGGCAGAATTTTACCTTTTCCATTTTTATTCCACAGGCAGGTATCACTCAGAATACAGTGATGCACTTGGCCATCTTTCATATTTTCCCGTTGCAAATTGTGGGCACTGTGGAGATCAGCAAAAAGGCATGTAGAAACATTTGTAGGTTTTTAAATTTGTCTGTCGGAGTGATATGTTATGACTTACATACAAATCTTAATCTTTCAGGTATTTGGAAATGGTGTTACTGATGTTGTTCTGTCTCAAGGTGTCCTAGCTGTGTCTTACAGCAACAAGTCAGTGAAGCTGTACAGCTTTGAGCACATTGTGCATAGGGTATGTATGTATTTTATTCCTGAAAGAGCACCTGCACTGTGTTTTGCTAGCTGAATATTTTATGCAATCAATATGTAAAAAGTAACCTCACAAATAAATGTTTTGAAGAAATTGTACCTGTGAATATTAGCATATTGAATCTTTTCTTATTATTTTGGATCATCTAGCTGCTTACATCTGTTTATCTGATGAATATTTTCAAAATCCCCCTTTTTGGTCTTAGTACATGACAGAGAAGTTAGTGCTGGGAGAGCAGAGTTCACTTCTTGGAGGCAAAACAGTGGGAGAAGCTCCGTTTGGTATCCCAGTAAATATCCAGATCACAGGTTGGTCTGTTTTTTGGTTTAAACTGTATTTTTGCGTGAAAGTTACAACCTACTTGGCCGCTGTGAGCAGGAATGTTTTTGTTTACAAAGTGAGCATGAGGTTTTTTATCCTATTGCACAGATCGCCCTCCTGTACTTTTCGAGGTGTCCTGCTCTAGTAACGGTGTCCAGATCGGAGGCTACCCATGGCACTACATCTACACACCACCACATAAAAATCACAAGGGGACTCACCACATCTGTTCACTCAAGGACAGCACTATGGTAAATTTAAAGAATCCTCTTTAAACATACAATATAACACATTTCAGTAATGGGCAATTTCAGTACAAAATGTAATGCGTGCTTGGCTGTAATAGTTTCCCCAAGTCTTGTTGTGTGATAAACTCAACGAATGCCAAATTGGTCAGAGCCTATTGAAAGTGTCAGGGTAAGAAGGGCTACAGATATTTTTGACAGCCTCTGTATTCAGCTGCTGAACAGAGCAGGATGAAGCCAAACCTGTTGTTGCTATTCAAAACCCCACAAAATGGTCCAAGTACTTTTTTGCAGATTTTTGCTGCATGTTTCAACACAAGCTTCTTCGTAGTTTTGTTTTGCTTTTTTTGTTTTATTTTTGACAACATTATGTAGTTATTTCTCACTTGAGGCAATTTTCACGAATCAAGGCTGCATCATAAATGGTGTGGAAAGACATTAAACCACACTTGCCACTGCCACATTCTCCAAAACACAAGAAACTGTAGTTTTGTTTGCTCTGATCATTGTAATGTGACTGAGATGCCTAAAAATACTGCATAAGCACACAGTATAATAAATAAATACAGTGGTGGTGTTATTTTGAAATGGTATGCAGTGTACATCATTACAGTACTTATTGAACGAATACACCATTTTCCAAAAACTCTAAAGCTGCAACAGAAGCAGCATTTTACATAACCACATTTTAAGTCAACAGTGGTTAAGTGGTAGTCAAACAATAGATTTTGGGTGGAGTGTTGCCTTAATAAGTCAAATATTGAGTTTTCCACATTGATGTGTACACAATTTATTGATGCTTTGCAGACACTGAGGCACACATCACAGAAAACTTTTTATAAGATTCAAAATTTAACTCCCTCGCTACAACTGCAAGAGGAAACCTAGAAATGGTGATGTGCTCATGCTACATTTTGCAACTTGTTAGTACTTTGTAATTGTTATATTGTAATTTTATGACATTAGGCAACAAATGGAATACAAAACATGAACTGCTGCTCTCTGGAGAGTGATGGGATTTTCTTCCACCCCGACGACTCAGGAAGAATCATCCACATTGGACCTACCACCATAAAGTGAGTACTACAGTCAACTTTTACACAACAGTGAAGAGTGTGTAAGGCAACAGTGGTAAAATTTTCCTTTGGTGTGGAGGCAAATATTAAAATCCAATAGAATCATTATTCAATAAAGGTTTAAAGCCTTGTATGTGCTTTGCCTCAACCTTTGTCCCATAACAAAGTTATGTTGTTTGGTGCATTTTGCCCTTATGTTATTATACTGGAGATGTTCCATAAGGAGAATGTTTTTTTTTGCTCCAAGTGTCCTTAAAATCCTTGGTGAACTGAACAGTGGTTTGCCATCAACGGTAGTTGAGGATTTCTCCATGACGACCCATCGAAACAACAATGTGAGTATAATGCTTCTTTCTATGTGCTGGACAGACTTAGTTGACCTTCATCATGAATCAGCCTTGTGTATGTACTGCATGGGCGCTCAGATTGTCTATAATAAAGCAGATAATCTCACTGTAGAGATGGACCATACACATATTTCCATAATCTCAGAAATTGAATGTTTCTGCTTTCCAACCACTGCAGCCTACCTCACAAGTCACTGTCACCGCATCAGGCCGCACAGTGAAGAGAAGATTTCATCAGCTGGATGATGACCCAGATCAAGAGGTACCAATATAATTGCACTTTAATCACTGATCCTGTATCTATGGCAAAGAAAATACTCACTGTGTTGCTTGTAAAAGTGTACATCGACACAACAGGATCCAAGTTAATTCTACAGTTGAACAGACTCTATGTGGAATACATTATATGTTTACTGTCTGATCTGGTGATACTCTGTTTTTTTCTTTTTGTCAACAAATCTCATAAAAAAAAAAAACGGGCTATTCCTCTGTGTCATTAACCTCTATTGTTGTTCAGAAACTGTTGGAAAACCATCAGTGAGCCACACTGTTGCATTGGCTGACACATTTTATTATAATGAACACAGACATTAGTTTATTTGGAGTCAGTCCCAAATAGACTGCTCCTCTGCAAAATACTGACTAACACAGCAACTCTGCAGCTAAAAATAGTCCCAAACTAAGAGACTTTTTACTTCTGTTTGAGTTGCATTTTCTAAAAAACTACAATGCCCAACTGTTTGGGAAATTATTTAACCTTTTTTAAAAACATGCTTTTTTTTTGTATATTTGAACCAATTTTCTTCTTAACTGGGAACCAATGGACTTAGGCAGAGAGCCACAGTGAGGCCCAGGAATGTATACAGTTTTGAGAGACAACATGATGCATTGTGGGTTTTGGTCTTTTCATGGGATTGATTTACAATAACAGAAATATAGAACATATCCTTTTAAAATACATCATACAAGCAGAACCTGTAACTGATGTCTTTGATAAGAGGAGGGAGACTATTCCATTAGCAAGTTTTCTGTGCCTTTTGTGGAGCTTATAAATAGTGTACCTCAGCTTCCAGTCGGAAATGGAAACAGCACTGCATATCCATCACTCTGTTAAGTCCTGGGGCCACTCTGTGTATTTTTACACATGAGAGTGAGTTATCAAGGGCATCCTTCCTAGGAATTTAATAAGACCACTGGTCTGTGGTGACTAATAACACCACCTAAGATACAGAGAACCACATTTACTGTTGAGTAAAAGTTCAAACTGAGGACACATGAGAAAATCAAACATCACTGTTGGGTTTCAAATATCATATCAGCCATTCATCAAACTGCTGAGAAAGTGCTCAGTCGTTGGAAATATAACATTTTATTCAGTAAGCAGAACATTCAGCACGGCAGCTTGTTTCCTTCAATACATTTAATTGTACCATCACCTTCAGGTCACATCATTGTTGATTGTGGTTAAGTATCCTCTTTTGCACCTTTTTAAACCATGTCAAACAATCATATACCGATCACACCCTGACTACACTTGCACATTCATACAGCAAGGTGACAGGTTCAACCACTGGAGGTCAGTAACAAAAGATTTGAGAATGCAGATAAGTGGCAGGATACAGGGCCTACTTACGTAATTGGTATATACAGTTGCTATATATAGCTAGACCTCCACACTGTCTGTGGTGACAGAAATTTGATTTTGCAGACTTTCCGTATGGTGGAGTATGAGGATGAGCTTGACCTTTTGGCAGTAGTGGTAACTAACGGTGAGGAGGGAGAAGGAAGGGCTCACATCCGACTGCATGACAACCAGAGCGGACAGTTACAGCGGACAATTGATCTGGTTGAACCTTGGGATGAGGTGAGTAACTTGACACGAATATATCAATATTAGCCTGAAATATCTGTGTATGGGAATTCATGTGTGCTCTTATCGTTTGTTTTTAGACCTATCGGCATGAGCTGTTCTTTGACAAAGATACAATTGTTCATATTGAACAAAAGAACACCAACTTCTGCTGCCATGTTTATAAACTCAAAGCCATCAGAAAATAAGTGATGCAATTAAAGCTACTGTAAAGAATTTAATGGTTAATTTTAAAAAATTTTGTAAATATTTGTTTCAAACTTATGTTTTCATGCAGTTTTCTTTTGTTAAACTCATAATGCAGTTTTTCATCTCTGGATCAGTCTGTCATTATTTTTTTTGTGTAAATTACACTTAATCAAGTTGGTCATTTAAATCAACGTATTACTGTTTATAATGCTCTGTCACGTGTGTGAACCTTTTTACACTGTTTCTCTGAAATTAAAATGTTATATTTTTACACCTTACTCTGTATTTCTGCTTCATTCTGTTTTTCCATCATGCTTATCCAAATATTAATACATCTGTAAGTTGGTTCCATGTAATGTGTACAGTATATGGTCAAAATTGTGAATTATTGTCTACTTGCTTTCACACCCACAGTTGCTCAGTTGTGTTAGTTTATTCCACAAATAAGCTGGATGTTCATTTGAAAATGCAGGTTTTGTACAAAGCTAAAGTTGTACCCAATTGCAGCATGTTAAAGGCCCAGAAAAAAACATTTCTCAATCAGCTGCTTACTGTGAGTGATGGTGTCCTACGTGAAGACAGTTGTTTCATATGAGTGAATTTTGTCTGTGCTGTTTTCTCTGAGCTCCTCTCTTTGCTCTGAAGTGGGCAGGGAAGTTAAGTGATATTTGAGTCAGAATCTGATGCCAGTTTTGTGGTTGTTTGCTAATGTTCCCAGGCTACTATCAGTCAAGCCTGATGAAACCACACCCACACAGTTGAGATGAAGCGGGGGTCTATTTCACAAAAACGATTTGGATGGATGACCCTGATGAAGGCCATAACGCGTCGGTCTAATAAAAGTTCTTCTGTTTACTACAAGAGTTGCTGGAGTCTTGACATCACAAAAACAATTTGCCAGCAGGGCATTCGTCCAGATCAAAAATTGTGGCAGTGTCATGTTTCACAAATAAGGTTACTTGCAAATTCCAGATAAATGTGATTCCTACGAGGCTCTTGCATCCTCATGCATAGGTCGCAGTGTTGTTTGTTTTGATCTATTAAAAGTGTCTGCGATAATAGGAAAAGAAATCTTATGGTGTGAATTGCAGCTGGTACGTTGCAAGTTTGCCTAAATTAATTATTTTTGACTGTTGAGCTACCAATGAATCATATACAAGGATTTTATATATATATATTTATATATATAACCTTTTTAAAAAAAAAAAAAAAAAACATTTTTAAAGGAAGAAAAATGAAAGAAAATTGTTGTAATAAGTAAAAACATAACATTCATGAATTACTCAAAACAGTCAGTGTGTACCATGGTTGCAAGAACATGTGCCGCTAAGATGAATCATTTCCTCATGTACATAAAGTGTTGATTTAGTCATGACTATTTAATCTTACAGAGAAATAATTTAGACTTGAAAGAAAGTTTTTTCAAGGCCTTTAATCTTGTTTGCATGAATTTGAACACCCTGAAATATGGTAGATTTTATGTTTTGATGTTTCCGTCAAAGTTTGTGATGGTGTCTGGACACTTCAATATTTACTGGTTATTAGATTATTGAACCTGCTAATTCAACTTTATGATCATCGGAGGATGAAGTTTGTGGTGCGGAGGTTGGACAAAACAATAGAAACACCTGTCAGTATAACCACAGGCTCAAACTGTGAACGACTTTACCAAAGGGAAGCACACAACTGTAAACCGTCACTGACTCAGCACAAAAGTTAACGTGCCTTTTTTTTTTTTTTTTTTTTTTTTTTTTAACTTGGTCTCAGACTCTTCTGTAAACATTGAAGTTACAAAACGTCTTTCCTCCAAGCATTTGCTGCGCTCTGGGTCATGTGACAGTGGTCCGTCGGCAACAGCAGCCACTTCAGGTTGTTATGTGTGTGGTAGCAGCTGCGCCAGTGACGCCGCTTCTTCGTCCTGCAGCCGACACTGATGGCGATGGAGAGTTTGAGACAGTTTGTGGTCGCTCTTTCTGCTGCCGCCGCCGTCGGCTTTGTCTCCATAATATTCGTGCTGAGATGGGTTCTTCACTACAAAGAAGGTTTAGCCTGGGACGGAGGACTGGCCGAGTTCAACTGGCATCCGGTCTTAATAGTCACCGGGTTTATTTTCTTGCAGGGAATAGGTGAGGGAACTCTTTCTTTTCACGAAATATGGTGGTCCAAATGGACTCGGGTGTTGTTTTAAAGAAATGTAAACAACTAAAGGAAATTATTGCTCAAGGCAAAGTTACACAAGACTCGCCTCTCCTAGAATCCCGGGGGAGGTTAATGCTGATGAGGGTGTAATTATAAAAGCGTCGTCCAGCAACTAAACTTCTCCTGAAACTTGTCATTCACAGTGTTAAGTTTCAACTTGGGTCGTACAGTTTAGAGTTTCTACTCAAGTGCTGTACTTAAGTACATTTTTTAGGTACGTGTAGGTACAACGTAGGCTACTTTTTAACTTCTACTCCCCTATATTTGAGAGGGAAATAGTGTACTTTTTACTCCAGTACATTTATGTGACAACTATAGGTAAACAGTTAAATATATGATCAACTTGTAGATTGTGATGCATTATGAGATTAAAGATCATTGCTTGTGTATAACCACCCAGGCGTTTTCAGTTATGTGGCTGTTTAGACCTGCACAGGTTCAAGATGTTCAATGTTGTGCTGGGGTTTACCTATAGGATTACCAAGTACTGATTAGTAAATTTCTTCTGAAACCTAGTTTCTGAAATCTATTTTTTTTTACAAGATGATAACCTGTGTGCACAAAATATTGTCTTGCATGCATAAGATGAAAAAAACAAACAAAGTAGGACCATGATGGCTCCATGATTTAACAAATTGAAAGGGGCCAGTCTGCGCAATGGATACTTGAAGCAAATTTTGCTGGTAATACTTATGTGCTTAAATAAATGACTTGTAAATGAGTACTTTTATATTGTAGTATGTGAACTATGTATGTAGACTTCACATGGTTTAGAGACCTAGAATGTAATTTATAGAAGCACCCATCAATAAAAAAAAGTTTGATATGGTCAAAATTTAACATATGCATGATAGCTGCATTGAGACCTGGTTGATTTATACTGAATGTTGCTCTCTTGCAGCCATCATTGTCTACAGGCTCCCCTGGACCTGGCAGTGCAGCAAACTATTGATGAAGTTCATCCATGCAGGCTTGAACTTAGTGGCCTTCATTTTTGCCGTTATAGCTATGGTGGCAGTTTTTGACTTCCACAATGCTGCCAAAATCCCCAACATGTACAGTCTGCACAGCTGGCTTGGCCTGATGGTTGTGACCCTGTACTGTCTACAGGTAAATAAATTCTTTTTATTTCAAATGATTAATGAAGTAATGGGTAAGGCTCCTGGTTGTGTGGTGCAGTATTGATATCGCTACTAGTAAGAAATAGTACAGAGACAGTTTGCACTACACCTTTACATATAGAGTAGGACAGTATGTCTTACACATGTAATACTGAGATTCTCTTCAAGAATACCAAAACACAAATTGCTTTGTCTCTGCTGGTCGTCTCTAAAATGCTAAGTCATAGTGAATAAGAGTCTTGGTTAGTGCAGTATCTGACAAGTGCATTTTTTCTCTCCTTCAATGAGCAGCTTGTTCTTGGAGTTGGCATGTACTTGATACCAGTTACACCTGTATCCTGGAGAGCAGCGTTCATGCCCCTCCATGTCTACAGTGGTCTTTTACTCTTTAGCAGTGCTATAGCTGTAGCACTCATGGGCATCACAGAGAAGCTGATTTTTGGCCTGTAAGTATTTTTAAAAAAAGAAATAAAGGCTTAGAATACTCTAAAAAATGTGCAATGTTAATTGCTTGTGTAAGAATGAGTTTAATTTTCTTTTTTGTACTTCATGACAAAGGAGCAACCCAAAGTATAAGGACTCACCCCCAGAGGCAATTTTTGTGAACATTCTGGGAGTCCTCCTGGTGGTTTTTGGAGCTCTGATTCTCTGGATTGCCACTCAAACGTCTTGGAAACGCCCCACTGACCAGACCTTGCATACTCTACATTCCAATGGGGGAGGTGAGGACAACACCAAAGTCGGTCCAGCTCTATCTCAGCTGTCTGATGGAGATGATGCTGAGGCCTCTGGGGATGTCAGGAGGAGGAATAACAAATTAGATGATTAGACTGACTGATTACAGAGTAACTGAGTCAGAGTTGGTACTGTCTCCAATGCTGAATGTATGTTCACCCAGTCTACACTGGTCAGAGAAAGTAAAAAATGTGCTTATCTTTCCATACATAAACGTCTTTCTTGCACTTACAAGTATTTTTCTTATTGGTGTTTAGAGCTTATTATTGTTCTCTCTAAGCATTATTGTTGCAAGTGTATGTAAATAATGATGAGCTGCTTTATAAGGAGTTTTTCTATTCTTTTGTATTATGACATCAGGGTTTTTCAAATATGTTCAGAACCTACCTACATTTTACAATAAATATTGGCAATTTCTAACTAATATCACACAGTCCTTGAATGTTTAGTAATATATTAATGATCTAATTATTGCCTGCTGAATAGGGGAATATTCATACAATAGAACTACTACATTAACCATTAGGACTCTGGAATCCTGTTACTGTCTTCTATTAATGGCTTTCAAAATTAATATCATAACATCCACCCACAATATTAACCACTAACTTTCAATACTATATCCAGCCAGTTGTCTTGGCGTTGCTTAAACCAGCCTTTTGAGCTTTTTGAAAGCTCAGAACTCTTTATGCTTGACCTCAGATGGCAGCACCACAGCCACGTAAAAGCTAAATGACCATTTTTGACACTTCTCGGCTTCTGTAGTTGGGTTGGCAAGTTGTTTTGGCTGTGTGTTTGGTGTCAGGTCGAAAACCTGCTTTAAGGTTAGTCATCTGCACATTAAAGTGACTTTAGCTATAGTGCCACACATTTATTACATATTGTATGTATTTGTGGCTGTGTTTGTAGCCCAACTTGTTTTAATCGGAGTGCAGTCAGTGCAGCTGAAAACTAGCCGCTAACAAATAAAGCTAATGCTACATCTCTAGCTATAAGTAATGGGTTGAATGGTGAAAACTACGTTTTCTGTCCCCCCTCGAAACGCTGTTTAACACTATAGATTACATTAAACTATGCGCATTGTTAGGAATTACTAATTAAATATTTTACAACAAGGATGGCAGTCATAACAAGGAAGGCTAACGTTAGCGGCGACCGAGGCCGACTGGATAATAGCGTGTTGTTCTATGAAGCTCCAGCGCGATTGGTCAAATAAAAACATCGTATCAGTGTGAACCGTACTTGTAGTTTGAGAGGGTGCACAACAAGATGATGAGGACCAAAGTGAAGTAACTGAAAGGGGATAGACAAACCCAATGCTAAGCTAACCCGGTGTGATCGGTCGTCCCAACTGTAGGGTGGGGCTCTCTGTTGGCTGGCTGACAATGACTGGTCAGCAGGGCAGTGGTTTTAATACAGCATGTAGCTCAGAAATCAAGTGTCTGTCTCCGAACAGCTAACACAGCTAACTTTAACTCACTCAGCTGCAAAGAAGACGGAAAGCACCATTGGATGCTTAGATAAACTGTTTCATCTGCAAGGTGAATCTGGGTAGATACCCGTGTCCGTTGCTGTGCAAGGTGGTACTGAAGTGGAGAGCATCGTCTGGGGATGGATGTTTTTTAAGACTGCTTTTAAAGCACTGCCTTTATTTCTCTTTGCACCGTATAAATACAGGGAGGCAACTTGATGCTCGGCTTTTGTTAAACACACTTAAGACTTAGAACCAAGAGAGGTTTCAGCTTAAAATACAATATTTCCCAATGTACTCTTTGTATAACGCGAAGATAAACAAAAATATGTTGTTTGTTCACAGCTGTGGCATTATGTCTGACAAGAGTGAGCTGAAAGCAGAGCTTGAAAGGAAGAAGCAACGCTTGGCACAAATCAGAGAGGAAAAGAAAAGGAAGGAGGAGGAGCGCAAAAAGAAAGAGGTATGTGTAAGTCTTTGTAAATGTTTTGAATATACACTGATATTGAAGGCAAAAAGGAATATGGAGAATAAACGCATTCAAAACCATTAATGGCTCAGTGTGAGTGAAAACCGTTCTTCGATTCAAATGCAAATTCTGTCCCTACACTGAAATTCTTGTGAATTTTGGTAGTCCAGATGCAGAAAGAAATCACTGATAGCCACCATTTGCATATGTATCAAATGCAGTTTAGAGCTTAAGAAACCTGGTAAATTATGGTTATGTTGACAGACATATACAGCAAGCACCAAGGCCTTTCAGAAAGACTTCACAGAAAGTTGGTATGTTGATCTTAGAATTAGCAGCATTGTTTTTAAATAAGTAATTTATAGCTGGTTTTTACTTGTTAAACCATCTTGAATGAGATCTAGGTCAGTTATTTAAATTGCATATTGAGATGTGAAGTAATATAAAAATTGCTGATTTTTTTTTTGTTTGACACTCTATATCATGATTGTCTCAAGGATTTCAGATTGGTGCTATTTATATACTGTACGTCTGTGTTGTGTAGACAGTATATTTCATATTGATGATCTAGACTGTCAAAACAAAGTTAGCAAGGGAAATGTTTTTCAGTGATTGTTTTTTGTGTGTTGATTGACAGTAAGTAGAGTGTATGAAAATGCTCAACTTTGGTGTAATGTGATAACAAGAAAACAATACGACTAAAATGAGTGCATGTGTACCATCATGTATTATACACCTGGGTCAATTATTAAGTGTCCATAAGTTGTTTTCCCATAATGTGCCACAATGACCGATAGCACACAGTCTCCTCTCAAGATATGAAAGTAAGCCCTGTCTTCTCTTGATGCCTCAAACTATAGTAACTTTGTGTGCAGACACTAGCAGAAATAATGCCATCAGTTTCTTAAAACCTTTTAACCTGCTGATTTGGTCTGGAAATAGTAGAAACAGTTTACACAGAAGCCTGTTCAAAGGCCAGCCTGTGGGTGTTTTCTTTTTCCATAAATTGATTTTCTATATACAGTGGCAAGAAAAAATAAGTGAACCCTTTTGAAATTACCCCCATTTATGTATAAATTTGTCCTAGAATATGGTCAGATCCTCATCCAAGTTACAGTTATGAACAAAGACACTGTACTTCAACTAATAACACACAAATCATTGTATTGTTCTTGTCTAAATATATTGACAGTAGTTTTCAAACATTCACGGTGTCGGTTGGAAAAAAGTATGCGAACCCCTTGGATACAGGCATTAATAAAAGGGAGGGGGAGTAGAGTAAGGGTGAGTTATCAAACCTGGAGTCCAGTCAATGAAACAAGATTGAAGGTGTGGGTTAGAGCTACTTTGACTTATAAAAACACGTAAACATTTTGAGTTTGATATTCACAAGAAGCATCTACTTATCTGAACCATGCCCACTAAAAAGATATCTCAGAAGACTTACCATCAAGATTTGTTGGTTTGCACAAAGCTGAAAGGGTTACAAAGTCATCTCAGAGTTTAGATATTCATCAGTCCACATTAAGAGAAACTGTCTATAAAAGGAGATGATTTAGTTGTGTGCCTGCTCTCTGTAGAAGTGGGTGTCAAGCTAGGCTTAAAGGAATCATAGGAGCTGGTTAAAATCTCTCTTCATAAGTCTACCATACAGAAATCAAGGTGCATGGAAGCCGCAGCTCCCTGAAAAAACATCGCTGCACCTCTGAAGTTTGCCAAAGAGCACAATGACACTCCACAACGCTACTGGGAAGATGTTTTATGGACTGATGAACTTGTGACTTGAATTGTTACTGAAGAACATGCAGTTCTATCATTCCCAGCATGAAATCATCATATAAAGGTGAACTACGGTCGAGGGAGCATCATGATGGGGCTGTTTTGTTGCCTCTGGGCCTGGACAGCTCACCATCATTGATGGGAAAATGAATTCCCAAGTATATCAAGGTTTATTACAGGATAATGTCAGGGTGGTTGTTAGCCTGTTGAAGCTCAGGAGAAACTAGGTGATGCACAATAACCCCAAACATCGAAGTAAATCTACTACAGAATGACTTCAAACAAAGAAAATCTACTTTTTGGAGTGGTCGAAACAATGGTCCAAAATTCCCCCTGAACATTGTACATGTCTGATCAGCAGCTACTGGAAGCACTTGTTTGAGGTTATTGGTGCCAAAGGAGGTTTGAGGAGTTATTCAATCCAAGGCTTCACTTACTTTTTCCACTAGCAGTCTAATGGCTGTGTTTAATAAAGACACAAAAGATTATAATTGTTTGTGTGATATTAGCTTGTGTTTGTCTACATTTGTGACTTAGATAAAGATCTGATCACATCTTATCACCAATCAATGCAGAAAACAGGGTTCACATACTTTTTCTTGCCGCTATACTCAAAAGTGTTTCTGATGATCAGCTACGTCTTGTTTCACTCTGCATTTTCTATTCTCCGATGCTAGTTAGGTTACATTCTGGCACTGCAATGAATGCAAATTAGTCAGTTAATCAGTCAGAATTTGAGGACAAGCTGAATTCTCTCAGAGCTAGTAATCAGAAAACTCATGTCATCAAAATACATTTTTAGCAAGCTGTTAGTTATAGAAACTATTTTATTTGGTGGTTTTTAAGTTGGCCTCTTATTCACTGTTAGAACATTCGGATATCTTTATTGGAAATGAGTTGATTGAAACAATACAATAATCTGCTCTTTGACAGTCATCTGAGATTCATCATCTCTGTCTGATCATTAAATTCATCGTGTCCTTAAAATGTATTGGTGGATGGGTGCCCAACTGTTAGAGCGTGTACCACATTTAGGCTCAGTCCTTACCGCAGCAGCCATGGGTTCGAGTCCGACCCATAGCCCTTTGCTGCATATCATCCCCTCTCTCTCCCCAACTTTCCTGTCACTCTCACACTGTCCCTATATGAATAAGGCATAAAATATTTATATAAAAAAAAAATTTACAGGTGGATAAAAGTATAGAACAGATGTTGATAACCTGAGGTTCTGTATTGTTGGAGATCATAGCAGTGTGATGTGGATTATTAGAGATTGCATTAATGGATGATGCATTGTTATGCTTCTAGGCGGACCAATTGAAAGATGCTGCACTTCACCAGGATGACTCTGACCTGGAGAAAAAAAGGCGTGACGCTGAGGCCCTGCTACAGAGTATGGGCATAACCCCAGATGCTCCTGCTGGTATGTTTTATATTACCTGTTGATTGATTGATACATACTTAGCTACTTGGATATCTGATTTTAAAATCTATAACCTTATAGACATAAATGACAATTTCATATATCCTGTTTCATATATCCTTTTATATATCTTTTAATTTGTAAAAGGAGTTGCAATGGTTAATTTTCAGTATATCTCACATGCATTATATATTATTTCAGTGTTTTGTCTCTGACTGAGGTTTGGGTTCACTTTCATACTGGGTGAACAGCATAGGAATCGTCCCCCAAAGCAAAACAAAGCAGTAGAAAAATTACATAAAACATACAGATTTTTTATGGCCAAACAGTGGAATGTTTTTTACTGGCCGATAAATATACAACCAAATATTAAATATGATAACTTAAGTACTAAGTAGTAACTTAGGTTAATAATATCTTAATGTGTTTACTTGTCTTTACTTGACTTTACTTTTCTGCCGGCTATAATTGGATTGATTTATACAGCACATTAAAAAGGCACTAATTTTTACACTGTCAATCAGGTGTGAATGCAAACACCAATGCATTGAAGCTGAAAGCTGACATTTTGACCCCATGGTCATTCTCATAAGGTTATATTAATATAACTATGTCATTATAGTCATTTCAGATTAAGACTCCTCAAGTACATTGTATTCAGTGTATTGTCCATTTCACATTTTTATAGGCTGCCACCTAGAGATTTCTTAGTAGAAACTCTGAATAAATTTCATGAAGACAAAACTAGAGAGTGAGACCAAGTAGAGAGTAGAAAAAATGTATTCAATATGTTCTTGCAAGTTTTCACAGCACATTTCTCAGAGGAGCTTGCATTTATAAAATCAGTCTCACTCATGATAATAGCATATTTCACAAAAAATTCCGTAAGAACCTGTACAACACAGGTGAAAGCCCTGATTAAAGAAACAAGTATCTGTAAAATAATGCCAGTATTCAGTGTACTGCATTTAGGTTGCTTTATAGTCTCTGCAGACCTGGGTTTTTGGAGCACTGTCTTGTTGCTAACAGCAGGTGGCAGAAGAGATCCATAAAAAAATCTCTATAGACCTCACACCAAACAAACAAATGCAAACAAGTTTGAAACAGAAGGGATGAAATTTTATATTTTTGTGCATTTCTATCTCTCTTTGTCTCTCTGTTTGACTTTATATTTATGCAATTTATTAGATTTATTCAAGTATTTATTTAATAATGACAAATTCAGTGTAATTGCCTTATTAATGGCTCTTTCCCAATGTGGATTGATCTTGCTGCAGCTTATGTTTGTTTTTTGTATTCAACTTGCTTTGCTACTCATTTCAAAGGTTTACACATATTAAAACAGGCTCAGTAATATTGTAGCTGTCAGGAAATCTCCCTCCAAGATTTGATAACATTTGAGCAATATTTGCAACAACAAAGCTGCCACTGCAGAATGAACGCATTTGTACTCATTTGTGGATAGCTCAGCATCTTTGGATTGTAACAGATTATTATTATCTGTCTCACTGTTTAGTCCCTCCTCCCATGTCTCCAACTGCCAAATCGGCTGGCACACCAAGTGAGGCAGGGAGCCAGGACTCTGATGGAGCCGTGGGACCCAGGTACACACGTGCGCGCGCGCGCACACACACACACACACACACACACACACACACACACACACACCCCTCTCAGCAAATGTTTGTATCACAAAGATTTTCCCCACTTTCAGTGCAGGACTTTACAAGATTCGAAGAAATGCCAAGGTCCTTAAATGCATTGTACCTCACTGATTTTAAATCTCGTCAAACAGCTCTGTTTGTCCTCTTTTTGTGCTCATTTATGCTTTTGCTATCAAGAAAATGTTTTCAGTGTCCTTAACACAGCTTCTCAAGCCACTTAAAATGCAAATGTTGTACAGCAATTTAGTTAAGAAGTATTTTAAAAATGCCTTCCTGAGATTTAGATCTGTTTTTGCTTAGTAAGCTTTGCATCACATTAAACTCCGGATAAAGGTAACGGATATATGTAAAGTCTGATTATAGTAAGAGCAACTGAGCTAAAACTTTTTTACAAAGTCTCATACCATTACAGTGAATGATGACGAGTTTATGCCAACTGAGTGCATGTTTATTTAATTTGTGTGCCATTGAATTAGGACGATCCTAAATTAACAATAAAACAGCAGGCTGCTGTGATGCCTGGGGGACTTCTTAACCCCTAATTAGAGCCCCTTCCCTGGGCTGAAATCCAAGCTCCCCCAGTGTCCCATCAGGCCCAGGGAGCTGTTCCCCCTACGTGTTGACTCATTTCCCTCACCAGCATGGCCATTTCCTACACACATGGAGGTCATGTTTTCTCCCTGAGGGTTCTCTCTCTCTCCTTCCCTCTCTGTCTACACAACACTCAGAGCCTTGTCAGTGACACAGTTCAGGCTGTATCAGCCCTGCAGGCTGCACATTACACCCTGTGTCATCCCACTCAGGGGGCCTGTGTCCATTCATTTTTAGCAGATACATTCTTTCATCTTTTTGTTGTGTTGTGTAGACAGATTCAAGCTTGATTTGACCTGTAAATAAAAAAAAAATCCAGTTTTAAGTGCAATTTGATAACATCCAAGTTTAACAGATTTGTGACCTAAGATCCGATCAGCATGTTGTGTGCCATAAAGCTAACTTTATTTCCTCTCCTCATTTGTGCTTGCCTGTTTCTCTCACTAATGCCGCCTTGTTGCTGTGACACTAACCAGGACTCTGCACTGGGACTCTGACCCGTCCACTCTTCAACTTCACTCTGATTCTGAGCTGGGGTACTGGACACTCTCTTCTCTCCTTTCCTGGTCATTTTCCCTTCTCTCAATCTATGGCATGATTACTTTGTTTTTCAAAGTCATTATTCAGTTAATGCAGTCCAGGAAAAAAACTCAAGTCGTACATGCAAGAGTGGTCAGACAAAACCTTTTAATGAATTCACACTGGTTGTTAAACTAATCTGAAGTCTTTGCCATTCCATGAAACACTCATTTATTTACTTTGATCAGCAAAGAGTCCACTTGCAAGGAGGTGAGAATTGTTTCAAAAGCAGATGAGAAAAGTTATAGTAATAGTATTGTTTTGTCTGTTTCTTTTTTCTTGTTGAATTAATTACTGTTTTGTAGTGATGTTGTGCAAAGTCTGAGTTGTTCTGTACTTTTAGGCGAGGAACGCCAAAACTGGGAATGGCCAAAGTCACACAAGTGGACTTCCCTCCGCGTGAAACTGTGTCCTACACAAAAGAGACCCAGACACCTGCCATGACCCAGCAAAAAGAAGGTGACTCTCACTTAATGTACTGTTGTACAACCTTGGAAAACACAAACAAAAGTTGCGTGTGCAGCTGTGTACAGCTGTGTGCTTGAATATGTCAATGTAACGAGAGCTTTACAAAAAAAGTTGTGGTCCATTAAAATGTATGGCTTCTTTGCTAACAAATGTTGTAATTTGCTGCATGAAGAGTGCACCATTCTTTGACAGGGCTATTGTGGGCTGTACGAGTGTAAAAGTGGGTACCGGAAATGAACAACAAGTGGAAGAGATTTGATTTGACCAGGCACTGAGATGAAAGTAAAGGAAAAATGAGGCCCAGGAAACATAAGAAGTCAGAGCAGAGATTAAATTCAGACAAACTCTGCTCCCCTGAGCCACATATGCAGCTCTACAACCAACCCCGCTTTGGTATAATTAATGAGCGAGATGAGAAAACCAGTGACAGGAAGGAGAAATGCGATTGAAGGGGAAGATATGAAGCGCCATGCATACGACTGCTTACTGCCTCTGAAGCATGTCGATATGTATGTAATTGCTGCACTGAAGCTTTCATGTGGTTGGACAAAGAGAATATTTGGGCTACTACTAATATCCACATGCTGAACACATGTTCTATAAAATATGCAGGATTTGTGGGTGTGCTGCATGTTTGGGGTCGATTTATGTAATGACAGATGGGGAATAACGCGCCTGACTGAAATCCTGATCAGGATTTTTTCCTTATTTTATCATTTCTTTCAAAGAGATATCAGAACTAGTCACAGAACTGACAATACCTCAAATTACAGTTTGTGGAATGAGTCTGTCTTTTTAGCTGTTTTCTCAATTTATTTGCATCAGCTAACACATCTTTTTAAGCATCCTTGAAAGCCTGGTTAGGATTTTAAACAGTGTACTGATTGTTGGTTGCTGTCCGATCAGGTGATGTGTAGAAAATTCTGAGGTGGCATGCAGCGTGAGTAAGATAAAATTGTGTGATTTTGTGGAAAACTATGAGCAGAACTAGTGAAGGATGAAGAGCATCTCTCTGTTCCTTGTCGCTCTTTACTCTGGACTCTACTGGGCATTGTAAAACTGTGTTAAACAACGATGGTTTCTGCCAGCTGTTCAACACGAGGCCCCCTTCCCCTCTCTGCCACTATGTAATCATTTCATCAACTCCCTCGCTTCCCTGTCTTCTCCCTTCACCGAACAGGCACATAACAAAACACACTCAGTGACATTGTGCATTTTCACACCATCACTTCTGGCACTCGATGAGACGGCATCCCCTTCCCAGCTTGCTCCCCTCGGCGCATTTTTGATGTGTGGGGTGGCGTCGGGCCTGTTCTGTGATTGAGCGATTTATCATGTTGTCAAAAGGAGGCAACGGCGCAGCACTCTCAAGGTCAGCAGGCGGTGGCATTAGAGGGAGCGGCGGCCGTGCCCTGGCCGCTGCAAACCGAGGGTTCCCACAGTGTCTGCAAGACACCTCAGAGACAGGAGTGTAAGATTTAAGATTTTTTTTAACATCACCTGCCCTATCGACCCCAAAGAAAGACCCCCTGAACAGTCAAGGAGAATGCATCTTCATTTTTATATTATTTGGTTGTTGGTAATGGCGACAGTAGCGCGTCATTCTACAACCAAAGACGTGCAGGGCTATCATTGTTGCACCTAGAGTGCCCTGAAATCTCATCTCAGATGGCTATGACTGTATGAAGATGACTTCTGTATTGATATTTATTTGCCTATATCTTAAGTTTGTGACTTTTAGATAACATGGTTACATTTTTTTTTTATCTGTATGTAGTTTTTGAAAATTCATTGATATAAGCCATCAGACTGGTAAATGTCTGTGGTGCCGCTACAGTACTCCAACTACACTAGTAGGTAATATGCAGCATCAGTATGCACTCTTCAACAAGAGGCTGTAATTATGGAGTAAGATATTGTTGGAGGTTGAGGGGAGCTGAGGGGTGTGTGTGTGGAGTGGTTGGTCTGGTACGCTGTTTAAAAAGGCTTGTTAGGAATAAGTATGTGGAGCAGTTTAGTAAATCTAATATTTAATTGAATGTGATTGTTTTAATCACTCTGAATTCAGAAGCAGGTTAAAACTTTTAATCACAAAAGCCCTTAATGGCCTTCTTGTTTCAAGTGCCACTTGTAATTGTGGTCAGCTTTTATGCACTTGATGATTAGTACTGTGAAATATCTATTGTATCCCACCGTCATACCGCAGCTAATAATTGTGAACGGAAAGTTTTTATGTATCTCTATTTTTCCCCTCAGTGTATTGTTTCAGTTTATAACCTGGCTTTTGTTTTCACTTCCATTTAACCAGAGGATGAGTACGAGTTTGTATGGTGTCTGAGAGTCCTGGTTTTGGATTTCTGCTTACCATTGGCACGTTTGTGATCTTTAGACCTCAGTGTCATTAGAGATGTGTGTAACCACTGTTGGACAAGCTGAAAACAATAGACTCCTGTTTGACGGATGACTGAACAGTGTTATCATATGGACAAAATCTGACTGCTAATGTCTTCGCTTTTACTTGCCTTGCAGCAGTTTTAAATTTGTTCCAACTGCAGATGCTGGCATTGTACAAGTCACACAATTTTGAAAACGTGTGCTAGAAGTACTTTATTTTAGGAAACAAAGAATGACAGAGCACATGTTTGTGTTGTTGTGTGTTTAAGCTGCTAGAGTTTCGTCTTGTGTGGTTTCATTATTGGCCTTTATATGGCAGAGAAAAACCCTGATGCACATGCCGAAGTCAGACCCGTGGTCTATCAGGACATATAGAAAGTGGAACACACCTGCAGCGGAGAGCAAAGGTCATTTAGTTTTATAGTTGTACATCACTGGCCGCATGCTGGGTTTGCATTAATATATTGTCCATTGACTAAGACCTGTGATTACTCTCCCCTCCCCCCCTCCTGACCGGCTCCCCCCTAGAAAAGCTTTTATTTCTTAAGTGGTACAAAAGCCATAATTGGGCCTGCTTTGAGAGGAGGTGTCAGTGTATGGGACATCGGTGATTCGGGTGAATTCTGTTAAATGCAACCCCCCCCTCCCCCCCCCTGTCTCTTTTTCCTCCATCACCCACCCTCGCTAGGCGCTACTGCCCCCCTACACATCCCCAGCGGGGTCACCAGGATCACTAGCTTTTCTCCAAATGGCCATTTTGGCTGGCAGGTGCATTATACCCTTTATTTTCAGATTGTCTATCCGCTCCTAATGCCTGGCAGGTTGATTGCTCTGGCTGCCTCACCACGGAAAGGGCTGACGAGCACGGCCGGGACTAGCTGAAAGACAGTGATTACTGTTTTCCTTTAAGCCTGATTGAGGCCCTTGAAAGGAAAGATTTTAACCTTCTCCTGTTGGTTGCAGAGTATGGCCGTACATTGAAATGGCTTGTGTCATCAACCCAGTTCTGTAAACTCATCAGTGCACCCAATAACCTTCTTCCCCAAACCTCCATCTGAGAAAGGGGATAAATCACTTTATGGACAAAGTGACAGATGACATTATCATTTAGATTATCTCAGTAGGAAGGAAATTCTGGCATGTGGTGCTGTCATCCTAGATTAACTATAAGGTTCATATCAAGATAAATGCCTGCAGGAACCAGACGAGTATTTCCCCTCTCCTCATGAATCTGTTTTGTCCTGCTTTTGCTACTATTTTTTACATTGAAAGCATAAGCTATATACTGTCTCTAAGAGATGTGTTTTGAAAAAGCATGTTCATCTCCTTTGAGGTAGAACCGGTGTGCAGTTTGCCAGCTGGTCTGGCCTGTATTTTGTTGTACATTCTCTGAGGTTGAATAGGAGTTGCAGGACCTCCTGCTAGGATGGTAATTGCATAGGCTTGCCGTTCAGGGAGAAGCTTGTCTCGGGGCAATCAGGCGGAAAACCTCTGTGCCATCCCCATGCCACCTCTGAAGAGCACAAGACAATCCCAGCATCACCATCTGCTTTTGCACCATGCCGTCATCTGGCCAGACCAATAGGACGGGCCTGGGCAGCTGCTCCACACCCTCTGCCCCGCTGCCCTGTGGCCTAGAAGGGGGCAACCTGCTACTGGGACACAGAGGAAACAGCTACACTGACAACTCAACTCTCTATTGAATGGTTTGAGTCTCATTAACAGTTGGGAAAGACAGGGGTCCCTATGACAACAAGACACCCGCTGCGCTGTGTCCCTTTAACACAAATGACAAACTTCCCTGCTTTAGAGCAGCAGGTTCTTTTTGAAAGGCGACATTGTGCTGACAAACCAAACAAATGCAAGGCAGAGATACAAAATCCGTCTATTGCCATGCCCATAATCACTGGGTGAAGCTTTTATTGAAAAAAGAAAATAATAGAGATGGAAGATGTAGTGACCAAAAAATGTATGAAACGTCTGTATGGAGGCATGATCATCTGTTTGGGGAAGTTGTTATTTTGAATTTGGTTTTAATCTCTGCTTATGTCTGAGATTTTGACAACACTGATATCATAAACCAAATGAGTTACACAATAATATGTTGATTGAGAGATTCAGTTTATACAACATAGCTCAGTGTATTTTCCAGTGTTTAACAGGGTTCACTTTTTGATCCACAGAGGAAGAAGAAGAGGAAGAAATCGCTCCTCCTCAACCAGTAGCCGAGACTCCGACTGAGAAACCGGACCAGAATGAGGAGGAGGAAGGTACTTCACCACCAGTGACCATTTATAATTGACATACTCGGCTGAAATTGTGCCCCTTCACTTCTTGTAGGAATTTTACAATTTCACATATAATAGTTGATTCACAGTACAAAGAGGTTTCTGTTCCTGTAAAGCAGCGAATCACATATCATAATGACCATGAGCAGCAGAAATCTTCACTACATTTCACTGTTTTTTTTTTTTTTTTTTTCTCTGTATAGCACCCCCCCATGAGCTAACAGAGGAGGAAAAACTCCAGATCCTGCACTCAGAGGAGTTTGTGAATTTCTTTGACCACAGCACTCGCATTATTGAGCGGGCTCTATCAGAGCATGTGGACCTCTTCTTTGACTACAGTGGCCGTGACCTGGAGGAGAAGGAGGGGTAATAATTGGACAGCTAGTGTTGTTAAAGAACTTGTAATTGGTTTTTGAAGAAGTGTTTTTATTGATTTGCGGTGCTTTGTTTTTCCCCAGTGAAATCCAGGCTGGAGCAAAGCTCTCCCTCAACAGGCAGTTCATGGATGAGCGCTGGTCCAAACATCGTGTCGTCACCTGCCTCGACTGGTCCCCCCAGGTAATTTTCTTTTTACCGCTCTTTCATAATTAAACACAAAACACTTTTAAGAAAAAATATGTCAATTTTAACAATGAATTTATTGTTTTTTTGTGCTAAAATGGAAGTAGTTGCTAAATGGCTGTTAAAACAACTTAGACTTGTGCAGCCATAATGCTTTATGATTACATAGCTTGAGTTTGACAGCATTTACTTTTAGCCACAAGTCCCTCAGGAAAAAGTAAGTTATGTCCCACACAAATTGTCACTTAGTTAGAGGCCATAATGATTTGTTTCCTCTGGTGTCCAAGGTCATTTAATGCATCATTCTGCAATGACTTTTGACAGTGATTGAACACCAGCCCTTTGTTCACAGTACTCACTTGCTCAGAGCGATATCCAAACCCTGGTTATTTGAAATTATGTATTCAGACTGTAAATCTCAGATCAAGCATTAGAAGTATCAGGATGTAATCAAATCATTACCCTCTGCTAGTCTTTCTGTATTCATTCTCTGCACTTCAGTCAGCTTAAATTTTAAAAGATTCTCAATGAGCTGCTGGTTTTAGTGTACTGTGGTGTTTTCCTGAGCGCTTTCAGGAATGTAAGTTTTGGTTAAAATTATTAAAGGAAATCAAAATGTAATTTACCAAAGTTTTTAGGGTGTTGGGCGACTTAAACAAGCCATAAATCTTGAGGAAAGATTTACTCAGTCTTTAAGGCATTCAGCAGCAAACGAGGCTTGTCCACATGGAGCCCAGCCTGGGGGGCATGTCTGCCTCCCCCTGACATTCATTTGGGCTGATTTTTCTTTCTTTTTTTTTCTTTTTTTTTTCTTCTGTCACCAGTATCCTGAACTCCTGGTTGCCTCATACAACAACAACGAGGACGCTCCTCACGAGCCAGATGGGGTAGCGTTAGTCTGGAACATGAAGTACAAGAAGGCAACACCGGAGTACGTCTTCCATTGTCAGGTACCTAAAGCAACGCTTCTCCGCTTCTTCCTCCCGCTCCTCCCTTCGTCCTCACGGTCGGCTTCTTCCATGACACACGTGGAGCACCACCAACCAACCCCTGTTTGCTCACCCTCTCTCCTCCCTCCTAAGCCCCCCCCCACCCCTCACCCCTCCTGCATTCGTCCACATTGTGAGTTCACCGTGCTGGCATCCACCTTCACCACATCTATCCACAAACACATGTTCATGAGGCGCCGGAGAAGACCTGTGGTGCAGGAGTTGAATGGAATCCGAGCACTGCAGCAGGATTAAGTGTGTGGGGCAGGGCTAGTTATCATGTGCATCTAAACAAGGGCCCTGTGTTCAGACGAGCTAGCAGGGAGAGCAGCAGAGCTCCTCCATTCTGCCCAGCCTTATTATAATGCCTACCCTGAGGCTCCTTCAGCAAGACAAGCTGAGTAGAACCACATGTTGTTGCCTCCAGAGCGGATGTAGATGCAGGCGTACTGCTCAGATGAATAAAACTGAACAGAAGTGTGAAGGTAATTTTCTTCGTGCCTCCAAGTCGGGTCGAAATGAAAGTTTCCTCCACAAGGCTTCACAATTTCTGTTAAAAAAAAAAAAAAAATCCCTTAAGACAAAATATTGAGTTAAGATTGTGGTAGGTAGAGCAGCGAGGCCATGTAGGCACATGAAAACCAGTAATAAAATTCATGAATCAAGTCATAATCCAAAAATTAATAATGAATCCTGTTGACCTGTTGATTTGGGAAAGAGCGAACATGCACAGATGCACGCATGAACAGTTCTTTAACTTTTGAGATGAAGCAGGAGAACAACAGATTCAACTTGATGTTTTCCATATTTTGATTACTGGCAACTTTAAAGATTTCAAGTGTTGCTGATATAAAGCTTTGCAGTATTTTGCAGCCAGTTTGCCAGACAGTGATTTAATACAGTTCTGCCTTGTGGTCAGTTACCTCAGTGGAAAATAGAGTTATTATTACCTCTGCTAAGGAGGTTATGTTTTTATCCATGTTTGTTTGTTTGTCAGCAGGATAACACAAAAAGTACTGAACTGATTTGTACTGAACTTGGTAGAAGGATGGGTCATGGACCAAGGAAGAGCTCATTGATTTTTGGGACAGATCCAGATCATTAACTATGAATTTGAATTTTTTTCTCCTAAGTGTGGTGTAAGTTGTTTGACGTTGGCCTTGGTGGAGATTTGCGCTCTGAGTGCCTTTCTTGTCTTAGAATATTGGATTATTATCACTGATGCATTCATGTGTAAGCAGCATCTGGTCTTGAAACTAATTAACTGTTTTTGGGGGCGCCACAGTGGCTCACCTGGTGGAGCGCGTGCCACATGGGGGGCGGGGGCTTGGTCCTGACCGCAGCGGCCCAGGCTCAGATCCAACCCGTGGCCCTTTGCTGCATGTCATCCCCTCGCTCTCTCTCTCGCTGACTTTTCTGTCTCTCTCAGTGCGGCTGTCAAAACAAAGGCAAAAAAGGGCCAAAAAAATAACAAAACAAAACACTATTCTGGGGGAATTTAATGTACTATATAAAAATTCATATTCATTATAGATTTTCAAAACTGTAAACTGAAGAATAACTACAAAGGGACCGCTGAAAAGACATTCAAAAAACGTCTTAAGTCAACAGTGAAATGACGCTCAAAATAGGTTCAAAACTGGAAGATTTTCGCAACTATTTAGACCATATATCACTGGGTTTTGCAATACTGCCTTTCAACTAAGAAATTTGGATCTGCTGTCTTTTTAACTCTCCAAAATGATCATCCATCCATTGTAGTGGGAACAGGTTAACCAAGGCAGCCCAGACATCCCTCTCCCCAGCAACATTTTCCAGCTCCTCCTGGGGGATCCTGCAGTGTTCCCAGACCAGATGAGATGTATAATCTCTCCAGTGTGTTCTGGGTCTGCCCTGGGGTGCCCAGGAGGCTTTCTAATCAGATGCCCAAACCACCACAGCTGGCTCCTTCTGACGTGAAGGAGCAGCGGCTCTACTCCAAAATCCCTCAGACAGTCAGAGCTCCTTAACCTGCCCAGCCAGCCTGCAGAGGAAATTCATTTCATCCGCTTGCAGCCACAATCTCATTCTTTCAGTCACTACCCAGAGTTCATGACCATAGGTGAAGGTCATCAACTGATAAACTGATAGCTTTTCCTTACGGCGCTGCTCCCTCTTCACCTTGTAAAAGTGGCCATGATGTATTTTTTTTTTTTTTTTTTTTTTTTTACACAAAATACATAAATATCATGATGAACTTTGTATAATGTCAAAAGAATTTAAAAGACTGAGAGATTTTTTAAGCCATACTGACCAGCTCTGTCACACAGGATTGAGCTTTGTTCTTGAAGATAGACATGTGTAACATGAGCATAGATACATTTTGTTTGATTGGACCTGGCGTGACGGCACATGACTCGAGACTTGTCACCAGACTGTGTCACTGCAAATATATACTTTTTCATTACCAGAGAAAATAAATGTTGCCTATCCCTTTCTCCACTTTTTCCTCTTTCTGACAGTCTGCTGTTATGTCGGCTGCGTTTGCCAAGTTCCACCCTAACGTTGTGGTGGGGGGCACATATTCAGGGCAGATCGTACTGTGGGACAACAGGAGCAACAAGAGAACCCCGGTGCAGAGGACACCCCTGTCTGCAGCAGCACATACGGTACAGTAAACAACTGACAGTGGAATCGCACTTAATTTAAATGCAGCAGAAAAATAAAATTTCTCCCCCCTTCTCTTTGCAGCACCCAGTTTACTGTGTGAATGTGGTTGGCACCCAAAACGCCCACAACTTGATTAGCATCTCCACTGATGGAAAGATGTGTTCCTGGAGTCTTGACATGCTTTCACAGCCACAGGTAACATGTATACTCTTTGTGTGTGGGTTTTTTTATTCATGGTTGGTCAGAGGAGTATTTCTGAATGATATAAACAACTTAGGATTAAAGATTTCACCATAAAGTTTAATTGCTATGTTAATTATTTGTCACGTTTTAAAGAGCGGAGCTTAGTTTTTACATTTTGTGTACTTTCTGTCTCTTCACTTTCACATTCCACACACTTCCTGTCCCTTCCCGTTCATGCTAAATGTCAAACATTTTGGCTGAACTCCTTCGTTTTAGCATTCCAGTTTGGTATTTCCCCCGGTTTTACCCTCATTTCTTCTACAACTCATTTTTCACTTTCAAGGAAATTAACTTTGCTAGCTGTGTCATTTCATCCGTGCTGCCAAGACCTTGATGTCAGACGTCAATTTTTTATAAAGTGCTAGTTGAATTTAGATTATGCATTAATAAACTGTCAAGTGATTTTTATAGGTTGTGCTTGGCAGAGTGTGTGTTAACATAAAGCCTGAGCAGGGAGCTTGTTATGGATGTTGTTCCATGTTCCCTCCCCTCCACAGGACAGCATGGAGCTGGTGTTCAAGCAGTCCAAAGCTGTAGCTGTCACCTCCATGTCTTTCCCTCTCGGAGATGTCAACAATTTCGTGGTGGGCAGTGAGGACGGCTCTGTCTACATGTCGTGTCGTCATGGAAGGTGCGTTCATAAGCAACCGCGGTCCCCAGTGTCCCTCCCGAAGACCGCCAGGAAACTAAGGCGTCTTGTTAGGCCCACCTAGGACCATGTGTCAAATAAATATAGCCCACTCACTTCCCTGTGCAACGCAAATCCAACACTTGATCTCCTGCTGTTTGAGGTTTCACTCCTGCCCAGTCATCCTGTTTTTCTTTTCCACTTGTCAGTTGTGTTTGTAAAGGTCGTTCAACATAAACAGGGCACACATGCAGGGGAAACAAATCATTTTTTCCCTGTCCTTTTTTTTTCTTTTTTTTTTCTTTCGAGTATGTGTCTCTGGGTGAGAGAGTTTGTTTACAGTCGGTCGTCCCGGGGAGAATTAAAACTGCAGTTCATCCCACAATGTTCTCATTTAAGAGACTGGAGCTCCTCTCACAGTGGATAGTCCTCAGCAGTGAAATGTGGCTTAAATCAGAGCTGCCACTGAGTAGCGTGTTAGCTCCATACTAAATGTCCTGCAGTATGCCCAGAGACCACAGAGAGGGGATAGCTGCTAGGTTTCGCACAGCAGAATCACCTCTGTAATTGGGGGAATAATTTTCCACCTCATTTACAATGGTATGATACTCTCATCGCAGTTAATAATGCATAAGCATCACTCATGCTGAGTATTTACCTCTCTTCGTTAATTATCAGAGCCTCAGTTGGTAACAGCTCTGCAACATGTGGTTGAGGGGTTACAGGCTCTTTTGCCACCCTGCTGGTAATCACATGATATAAGTAAATGATTAATGTGAATACATCCAGCAGAGGTCCGTCAGTGCCTGTTGCTTTCTTTCATACTTAATGTAATGGCCAGATGATTAAAAAGCACAAGTACAAACTGTTATTCTTTTGAATTTTCATTGTGTTTCCTTCATGCCATGTACATAAATGCATATTCAAACATCATTACAACTGAAGGTCATTACTCAACATCTGCTGCTTTTAAAAATGAAATTTGTCATGCTCATTGTAATCTGTCAGTACGTTTGCTCTGACCCCCCCCCTTCATCTGTGTGCTCCACAGCAAAGCGGGCATTAGTGAGATGTTTGAGGGCCATCACGGGCCCATCACAGGGATCAACTGCCACACAGCTGCAGGGCCCCTGGACTTCTCCCACCTTTTTGTTACCTCCTCTTTCGACTGGACTGTTAAGCTGTGGAGCACCAAGGTACGAGCGAGATCTAAGGCACAATGAGATTTGAGCGAAGTTAATTTTGTCTGGTTGAAAAGACCCCTCTGTGTGTAGCAAAAGTTCAGGACAATAATGTTTTTGTTTATTTGCCTGTCACATACTTCAGTTAAAAGTATATTGATTAAACTGTGAGTCAGAAGTCCTGACAACCAAAAGAGTAACTGTAATGAATCCTGTTTACCCAAAAGTAATGTCTCTAATTTTACAAGGCTAAATAATGTGAGCAACTCTATGAGACCGTGATTCTCGTTGTAAAGAAAACCAACTTGAAACACAGATAAAAGTTCAGGTTCAAAGTTTGTTTTTATCCTTCGCAGTTGTAAAAAAAAAAAAAAAAAAAAGATGGTTTCAAGATAAGCATACTTAAGTGTTATCAGTGGTAATTATGCCCTCATTGTATGAACAGTACATGACATTGGTTTATGCAACACCACTACAACTAATATTACTAGATAACAGATTAAAGAGTGCTGAACACTTATCCATCGTTTCCTTGCACCTTAAACCAAAGAGAGAGGAGAGAAATCAGGACACAATTAGGGAAACTGATCACGGATGTATATCACACAGATATACTGTTTGAATATTAGCTTATAGATATTCAAGCTCATACTGCCTCACGCTGCCTGTACTCCATTTAAGCAGGTTTACACTCCCTTTCTGCTGTGGACCACAGCCACTGGTAACATGCTAACGTTCAGCAGTGTTAAAACCATGTTTATTATCTTAGTTTAGCAATGGCTAACACAGCCACTAATGGGAAGGCCACTAGTTTTGCTTGTATTTAGTCATGAAGCTAAATATCTGACAAATATACAATACGTCCAGTGTGCAACAGGAATTATTTGCCAATCCATTAAATATTTTTGAGACACTCTGGACCAAAGTGGTGGATCCATTAACTGACCAACCTTAGAGCCTCGTGACTAATGTGTCTAAAGCAAAGGAACATTGACAGGGATGACGAAACAGTGTTGTTAAAAATACAAAATAAACATCAAATTTTGTATTCATTTAGCACGTTTGAGCATGTTTATATAACACATGGTGGTACCTATGTATGAATTGATACACATATAGGCACCTGTGTAGCAACAACTGAATTCTTTTTAAATACAATGATTAAAATAATGTCTCTTTTAATCTGCAGAACAATAAGCCCCTGTACTCATTTGAAGATAACTCGGATTACGTGTATGATGTCATGTGGTCTCCGACTCACCCCGCTCTGTTTGCTTGTGTGGATGGAGTTGGACATCTGGACCTGTGGAACCTCAACAATGACACTGAGGTGACGTAGTTTACTTAAAAGCATGCATGTTTTCTGTGACCCCTTAAAAGGAAACAAGAATTTTGTGCATCTAGTAAGAGAGGCACACTCAAATCTTAATTACAGATGATGCACTTAAGAGGTAGCAGAGCATGTTCCCACTCCTCTGATTGTTTCTCTACCGTGTTATTGTTTTAGGTCCCCACTGCCAGCGTCACAGTAGAGGGTAACCCAGCCCTCAACAGGGTCAGATGGGCTCATTCTGGCAGAGAAATTGCTGTGGGAGACTCTGATGGACGAGTTCTTGTGTATGATGTGGGAGAGGTGAGTAGGCATGACTCTGCTTTTTACCACTCATTTTCTGATTGATCTGTTCTGTCACTTAGGTGTGTTGTTGCAGATGTGATTCAGCCTCGTACCTGCTATAATTTCTCCTTTAGTGATTGATTGCACAACTATGGGCAGTTCACCTTACTGAGATTTTTTAAGAAGATCTTAAGGATTTAACAAAAAATACAAATGTGTACACTTTATGTGTGATCTCAGAAGACTGTTTAAAATTTGAGTCATGCCTCTGTTTTGCCCCACAGCAAATTGCGGTTCCACGAAACGACGAGTGGACCCGTTTTGTCCGCACACTGGCAGAGATCAATGAGAACAGGGATGATGCAGAAGAGCTGGCAGCTCAGCGTCTTTCTGCCTGATCTAGTCGCCATGGACACAACGTTTAAGGGACCAGTGGCGTGCTCATTAGTATCAGCCCCATTTTGATTGGAGGGAAATGGACATCTTTTGATTTCTTACACTTTCTTATTTGGACAACTCTTCCTTCTCAGTTAGCTGGACCGTCACCAGTCTTCCTTGGAATAACACAAGTAACAGGGCTATCAACCTCAGACACTAACATGAAGCCATGTTCACTAACACAACAACATCGTCCTTTTGTCAACCAGATGCCTTAAAGTTTCATTTTAATTTTGACTGTAAAAATCCTTACCTGTCTTTATTTACAGCATGTTAACATGAGCCTTAATTTTGAGTTAAGTATCTCAAGCCAAATATTGTACGTGCTCCAGTCCACATATTCACGAGAAGCACTCATAGCTGTTCTCCTTTTCCACCAAAGTTGAACTGAAGCAATCACATCTTTAAACATCCAGGGAATGTAAACATTTCAAGCTGTAGCCCATGTTGTCGTCTCTCTTCCTTTAGACTTGATGACACAAATAATCACTTGTTTGTATAATACTGAAATGTCCAAAATCCAAATGTCTTTCTACTTCTATATTGTTCTATAGTACACCAGTCTCCACTTAATCAGTGCAGCTGGTCAAACTTCAGATAGTTGGAATATCCTCTATGCTGTAACTGCTCAGTGATTTCCAGATCTGTCATGTATGTTGATAGGATCTGAACAGAGATGGTTTGTTTCCTGAAGAATCTCAAAGCTCTGTCAAATGTGAGAATGTACTTTTCACACAGTAGAAACAAACAGTTTGAATGATTTATTTCAATAAAATACAATAAATACATTTAAATTATTTCCCAAGTCCCTGGTCATGATTTCAAAATAAACACTTTTGAAAACATCTGTACATCCTCATGTCTCTGAAATGTAACTGACACATGCACACCAAAGCTGTTGCACGCCAGAAAAACCGCCAGTAACAATCTTTTCGTAATGCCATAATGTCCCTCTGTAGAGAAGTACAATATGTACAATAAAATTGTGCAAGCTATGCAAAGAAAAAACAAAGCCATACTCATGCAGCATTCAAAGTAAGACAACCGCTCAAATGCACTGAATTGAAACATGGTTCAATAAAACCATTATGGAGGAAACATAATGACTGGAGCATGCAGCCCTCAAGTCTTGACAACTGACGTTTTATGAGGCCTGTGGCTCTGTTTTGGACTCCGCTGGTTTGATTGTCACCTCTCCAGAAGGCTTGAACTTGGGCAGGTGAAGACCAAACTTTCTCTCCACGCCGGCAAAGGTTGCAGCAGCCAGACGGTAGCCGCCCACATGGTCTACAGTCACAGAGGGAAGGTCCCTGATGGTGGGTTTGGGAGTGGGCTGGGAGCCAGTAGGACGGCTGAGGAGAGAGTCAGGTTAGGGCTAGACCCACTTCATGGTATTAATGAGTAGTTCATTCTTGTTGAAAATAGGGTTAAAGTACTTACTGTCCTCCAAAGTCAACATAGAACCATCTTTGCAGCAGTTCATAGGTCACCAGGGTTACACCGAACTGCGGCGAGGATCTGCAGACGCGAGCTAATGGAAGATGGTTTGAAAATTACAATGTGGGATTTAATATTTCTCTAGTGGTTTCTAGACAATTACAGCCACCACAGCGAGCCTCATTTCCCAGTCATGAAACCACTCATGACTATCAGGACTATGAGTGTGTGTGCATTTACCTCCTGCGCCCTTCCAAAATGCCCTGAAACCTTCCTCCTTGAGGATCTTCCTGAAGCAGTCGATGACTCCACTGTATGTCGTCTGGCCTGCTCGGGCCGCCACCTGGAGCCTGGTCTTGATGACATCAGCAGGGGTCACCAGCGAAGCCGCTGGTACACCTTAGGAGCATTTCACAACAGACATAATGAAGCACTTTCACTATGCACAGATGGTGTCACATTCTGACATCTCATCCCATCACGCAGGCCTTGAAATGGGTAGAGCTGTATAGTTTGATATGACAAAAGCAATATATATACAGGCAGGCTATTGTGAGGTTCAGTGGATGGAGACACGACAAACTCAGGAAACCAAAATGTATTTGTTGGAGCAGATAATGTAACAGATGGCTCAATAAAAACACAACATGTTGCTGTTTGGATGTCCAGAGACCCTGAGCGTTCCAGATGTTGGTTACCTGCAATAGCTCCAGCAGTGAGCAGCTGTAGTGCCCCCAGCCTTCCATCCTCATCTGCCAGCTTCTCCTTGGTGTGGGCATAAACAGGGAAGTAGATGGCAGAGAAGGGGATGTCACGTAGGAAGCAAGCTTTGGCTCCCTGACAGAAAAAGAAAAGATAATTTTTTTTAAATATATACAACATACCAGGGCTTCTAAATGGGAAGAGGCAGTGGTTGAGGCCTGGGAGTTGTCTTGTTCAACCTACAGGGGGGCTTTAGTGTTGATGATGGAGCCAAACAGCCCCAGGCAGAGCTGGAGCCTCCAGAGAGAAATCCATCTCTCTCACACACACACTCAGACTACCACCATGAACCCCAGTGTGCTGGCTGCTTCTACCAAGAGGAAGTCAGCAATTTTTTTTTTTTTTTTACAAGCCACACACTGTCTGCTACTCATTAAAATATGGAGTATGAACACATGACTCGAGCTGTAAGTAAACCCACAAGGATCTGGAAGGGAGCAGTAGCAAAGTATAATCCCTCACTAATTTGCTGTTGGTTGTTGGCCACAGTTCCTCTTGCATGTTGAACACTGTTTTGGAAAATTGCAAACAGTCAGCAAAAGCACTGTTTGATGTTCACATTTCTGATCCTGATGTCCATTATGCCTATGTACACATACAACTGTTTGTTCAAATACAGTAGTATTTTATCTCTGCATTGTTAGGGGGAAAAATTAAATCATGTTAATATACAGTAGTGGAAAGTAAAGTACATTTACTCAAGTACTGTGTTGTGCTTCAGTGTCTTCATTTATGTTACTTTAGTCTTCTGTTTCACCACATTAAAAAGGGAAATAATTGTTTTTATTCCACTATACTTGTTCTAGTGTATATGACAGCTACAATAGTTTGTTATTTTGTAGATGTCAATTTTAACATTAGAAAAATAATTACAAAATGCAAAATGAGACATCTTAAGTTTGAAGACCTTTGAAGGATTTAGGAGATTCAGATTTTTCATTTTTCTCTATTTTATAGACCAAACAATCAATCGAGATAAATCAATATTGAAAAGGTCTGAAAAACAGACATTTGGCTCATCTTAGCCCTTAATGGAGAGTTGTCCTGTACAATTTTCATTGTAAGAGCTTTTAATATATACTTAGAGGACAATAGCAACAAATACATTTTTGATACAGTTTTTGTTATATTAACATGTAAGTGGATAAATTACATTGTTTGGGTGCATTATCATATGTTTTAATAGTTTTCCATTTATATGTTTATACATCTGTTTATGGTTTTTTATTATGTAAATTTTGCCTAATCAATTTTGATATTCTATCATGATTTATTTTTCTCAGTTACTTGTAAGATTAAGAATTCATTTCACCTTCTTTACTTGGCCTGTAATATAGAATTGAAGCGATATTTGTGTAGATGTGAATTCTGTCTGTAATCTGAATGTAGAGAAAAAGATGTTTTCTTCATGATTTTTTGTCATGTTTCTTTCTGACTTATGCTTGTATTCTTGATCATGTGGACATGTGCTAGGCCTTCAATTGTTAACACTTATCCTCGGTGGCATAAACTCCAGTCAGATGACTACTCTTTTTATCCTAAGGAAGGTTATTTGCTGAAATGTCGATCTTTACAAGGTGAAATAAACGCATCATAGTTATGAGTGTGTGGCTTTCCATTGTCTTTTTTGATGTCTGCCTGTGAGCCTGCACCTCACTATAATGGGTTTGTTTCCCCTCAGTTTGTTATGAAATCATCTTCCACCAACTTTGTTACATAAACTAAGGTGAACAATAAATAAACTCTTCATGTTGTTGATATAATGTCTTAGGAACATCGGAGCGCCTTTCACTGCCCTTGTATGACAGAGGCTGATGCTGCAGACGTCATGGTACTGCAGAGGTGCTGACCTACCTTGTAGAGGCCAAAGAAGCCCAGGTCTCTCACAACACTCAGGGCACTGACCCTGGGCCCTGTAGTGATCTCTCCAGCCACCTGCAGACGGATCTTAACAATCTCCAGAGGATTGGTGAAAATCACCTGGGAACCTCCAGCCTGCAGGATGCAACCAGGAAAAAGAAACAGCTGATGAGTGGTTTATATGTAGAGATCTAGGTTTCTGAGTGGATTTTCTGTGATAAGTGAGGTTACACATCTGAGGCGTGAACTCAGGGTGAAAATGGTAATGATATGTAAGCATTTCTTTCTAGAAGGAATTTTCTAATTATCTCTATAAACTTAAGCAGAAAATACGTTTTTTTTGTCTGATCAGATTTTGTCAGAGAATGGCCTTGACAGGAGGAGGAAAAAGCAGGCATTGATAGAAGAGCAACAGGGGTCAGAGCAGAGCAGGCGTAGGGTGAGGAGAAGCCCCGGCTCATGGTTGGGAAGCTCTGACCCTGGCACCAGCCCTCTGCCCCCTCGCCTCCCCTGAGGCATCTCCTGTGGCAGGGTAAGCGGCTCAGCCTGGCCTCGCCCCGCACACTTCCCCAATTCACCCCCATTCCCAGGGGAGATCGCTGAATCACCCGGACGGCTCGGGGTCCTGGCAAGCACTGCCCTAAAGGCACAGCACCCTCTGACTCAGGCACATTTATCACCCTCCCCGAATCTAATCAGGCCCCAGGATGGCTGCTGGTGACATTCAGGGCAGGGGTCTTATCTGTAAACATCCGAGCAAAGGTCTACAAAGTGCTCTGGCACATTTAGTCATTTTCAAAGTGGACGGGGAATATCCGCTGCTCTGAAGATTGATGCATTTGTCCCGTCTCTTTTATCTTCTTCAGTTCTCTCTTCTCATGGGAGCGATAATTTAACAAGCCATTCCCATCAGATTAAACAGACTCTAAACTTTCATAAAATAACATGATGATGTGGGCCAGTTGTTATAAAGCACATGAATAAATTAGGAAGGGCTATAGATGGGAAATATTCTTAGCAGTTAGAAGTGTGTAATGGAAACATCCTCATTGTCCTGTGTGCAGACCTGTGCTGTGACCACACCTCAGACATGTACCGCGTTGTCAGACTCAATCACACTGAGCTAGACCCCGCTTCATCCAAGACCCTCCGGGGCCTCTTCCTCCAATTACACCCTGACAGGGGTCACGACCCTGCAGACCCTGCTCCTCTGTGAGCAACCTGCGGGCTCTGCCCCACGGCCTGCCTGTTTCGTTTCACCACAGCCAGTGGAAAGCCAAAATGGAAGAATTATATCTTTAATCCACTGCTGCACTCAAAAGATCTTATGAGCCAAAATAAAATAAAAAACAAAACAAATCAGGGTCTAAATTTAACTTTCGTATTTCAGGCAACCCATGTATGATGCCAGTAGATGATTTGACCCGAGAATAACAACAATAAATCTCTCACACACACTTCATAAATGAGTCATTATTACTGGTAAATATTTTAAATGAGAACCATATGTTGATAAATTAAGTCAGATGAAATTCAAATGAAACCAAAATTTTAAATAAATTACCACTATTACTCAAAATACCAATTTGATAATCCGCTATAATTTTGAATCCAAAATGAACAATGCAAGGGTCCAGATGCTTTGGCTAAAACAGGAAATTAATATATTTGACAGCTTTACTTACTAGTTACTTTACAGATTATGAATTTACATGCAAAACATATAAGTTTATAAAAT